CAGATTACTTTTTGGTGTGGTTTTTTTTTTTTTACTGGGCTTGTTTTTACTGTAATGGTTTTTCACCTATAATAGCGAAAACCCAACATTGTCTCTAGTTCTGTCCTTAACTGATGTTAATTGCTAGCATTTATGGTAAAAATTGGCACTTTCCCTCTGTGAGGACGGAAGAAAATACTGGATCCAGAAAAGCGTTTGTACTCCGCCTGAGAAAAACACTCTCCTTTGGTTAATCAAAGATAAATCATAGTATTCTTTGGTGTTTAAATTTCACATGATTTTAGTCTTAGAATTGTGTTTGTTTTTGAGGTTGCAATAGTCTCTGTGACCAAGATTGCCTTGGTCAAGAAAGGTTAGTTTTTTTTGACAGTTGTATCTATAAACATTCTTTATGCATTTCTGCGGTGAAGTACCTGTCTGAGTAACTTTTTATGGGATATTTAAGCAGCTAAATTAAGGCAGCAAGCTTACACCTCAGGCTTCGTCCCTGCCCCTGCACACCTGTAATCGCCACTGAGGGGAAACGACCGCAGGTTCAGGGCTGGCCCTCTCTCCTGTGTTTATTTCAGTGCCTCAAGGGCAGCGCTTTCAGCAGCTCATCCTGCCTGCAAGACTGACGTCTCTGGAGAACTGGCCAGTCACCCCTGCGTGCCTCCCTTCATTGTCCTGTCACTCACCTGTCAGCGGGATTGTGGGGCAGCCGGAACCTCTGCCTGTCTGCCCCCGGAGACGCAGGCATCACTTCTAGTCGGGCCGCAGGAAGCAGTAGCAAAACCTGTGGTTGGAAGATGCCTCCTGACGCTGCCCCCTGGTCAGTGTGCAGGGACCTTTCAAGCTTCAAGCCGGGTCCCTGGGGGCAGAAGTGCCGTGTCTGGGAGGAACACTGCATGTGGGGCAGATGGTCCAGGAGTCTGCCCTGGCCCAGCCGAGGCTTTGGCCGCCCCAGCACAGGTGAGGGCAGGGGGCCCTGGGTGTCGTGTCCAGCTGTTTGTTCCTCTTCTGCCTCTTACTCTCCCCGGGGTTCAGTTTTAGGCCTCAAAAAGAGGGCGTGGGTTCTGCAGCCAAGCTAGAAGATGGCAGCAGCCACCAGGAGGCTGGACTCGTGGTGGTGAGCTGGTTCCTAGGACACTTGGGTCCCCTGCCGAAGGCCGGTCTCTCACCCCCAGTGTGTTTGTAATGGGGTGTGGGGCCTCCTCCCCTGCTCCACCCTCCGCCCCTGGGCCAGAGTGCTCCGCCGCGCTGTTTGCAGCCAGAGGTCACTTGGGCACTGTGTGTTCCATGGATGCCATGGTCTAGAACCTGTTCGAAGAGGCCTTGGTGGATGGTAGGCAGAGGGCGTGTTGATTTCTGGTGGGGTCTGGATACCAATCACCCGACATTACAGGTTTGGCATTAAACACACCTCCCTCCTGAGCTTTGGACCCGGCCACATGACTGCTCTAGAACTTCCTCAGGATGGGCAGAATGCAGGGGTTTCCATGGTAACCCTAAGGGAGCCCCCCTGGTCAGTGGTGGGGCCCAGGGGACTCCCCTCCTCCCACGCTCATAGAGAGACCAATGGTCACAGTGGCCGAGTTTGGTCTGGGACACTCCAGGGCAGCCCCTGGAGGGGGCGGGCTCTGCGTGGGCACGAGGAGGGTGCTGCCTCCACCCCCTGCAGCTGCCCGTCATCCCCTGGGGCAGGGGATTCAGAGTGGCGCCTGTACACTCACCAGCAGCAGTTGGACTGCGTGTGCACCGTGCTGGGGGTCAGGAGGCCGGGCGGCTGTTCTCTGGACAGATCGCCGTGGGGGCCCAGTGCCTGGAGGAAAGTCACCCAGAGCGCTGACACCAAGGTAGAGGGTGGAGACCCCAGTGGAGGACTCTGCACAGCCGAGTCCTGCGATGCTCAACCTTGGTTCCTCCCCAGCTTCCAGGTTGCGTAGTTTGGGATGAGTGAAAAGCTGGGTGAGGTGCCCTTCAACTCTGCCCCACCTCCCCACTTGGCGAGGTGCTGGTGAGGGAGCTGCACAGCGAGGCCACTGCCTGCTGGACATGAGGAAGCGCAGCGCCTCATTGGCTGCACAGCGCCCCATTGGCTGCTCCCACAAGCGGATGCTGGACCTGCTCACACTGTGCCTGGAGCAGGGGGAGGTCAGTGTGGCCGGGTCCTGAGTGGGGCAAAGTGGAGTCCTTCCCAGCTGCCTGAGGGGCAGTGATGGGTGGTGGGTTTGCAAGCGGTTGCTGGGAGGGAGGTGCTGGAGAAGGCTGTGGTGGAGCTGGGCCCGGCCCTTCCCACAGAAGTCCACCCACGAGGAGTTGCTGGAGGGGGACACATTCCTCCCTGAAGGGTTGAAGAGCTCGAGCCAGGGGCAGGAGGAGGGGTGTGTGGAGCTCCGAAGGCAGGAGAGCTGGGCTTGGCACTCTGCTTTGGAAATAGCCTCCAGGGTCCCCAGAACACAAATGGACATTCTGACGCTGCAGGCAGGCCTTTCAGCCAGGGGCGTGCCGACCCACCCTGGCCCCCGGCCCACCCTGGAACAGTGCGGTGGAGCCAGGCCATGTGTCCTCCTGGGTGGGCCCTGAGTGCAGGACCCTCGGGAGCCTCTGATGAAGTGGGCGGCGGGGGCATTTGGTGGGGACATGCCTTGGGTGTGAGGTCATGCGGACAGCCTTAACTGCCTCAAAGAGAGGAGGCTTTGGTGTGACTGAGAATCCTCAAGGTCTGGTGAGCTGGCGGCGTGCAGGAAACGCTGTGCCAGTTACCAGGGGAAACTGTGGGTCTTGAAGGAGCCTTTGGGTTGGGGGAGGGCCCATCAGCGGTGTGGAGGACCTGCAGCACCTCCCACCCAGCCCCCCACCAGGTAGGCAGGTGAACCAGGGGTGGGCGGTGGAGTCGTGGGGGGCGCAGCTCTGGTTCCCAGTGTCGGCTCTCTGGGTGCATCTCGGAGACGGTTCCTTCTCCCTGGCTGGAATCACCGGGAGGGCGGGCTGCTAGGGGCTGTGGCGGGGGGACCGTCACTGCTCTGCCTGCACCTCCTTCCTGGTGCAGGGCAGCTGCTGGATGAGAGGGAAGCAGTGGGTCTTGGCTGCGGGTCTCTGGGGCCTGGTCTGGTGGGGCCTGGGGGGCGGGTGCTGTGGGCTGTGCACCCGGGAGCCTGGGGTCACGTGGGCCCCTGTGGGCATCCCCGGTACTCGTGGCCCGAGAGCCACGACAGGAATGGGCCGAGCTGTCGCATCTCGGTGGGTGGGTGGCCGGGTGGGTCACCTGGGATGTCTGTCCTCCCCCTGCTCTGCGGGGTCCACTCACAGCCCCCACACGCCCACCATATAGCCTGGCCAAGACCAGCTTGGGACTGGGCCTTAAATTTCCCAGATCATGTGATACGTTTGCCTCAAAAACAGCCCTGGCTGGTGCGGCACAGGGGCTTGTGCATCATCCTGAGAACTGAACGGTCACTGTTTCCTGGCCAGGGCACGTGCCTGGGGTGTGGGTTTGGTTTCTGGTCGGGGTGTGTATGAGGGGCAACCGATGGACGTTTTTCTCCCTCTTTCTCCCTCCCTTTCCAGCCTATAAAAACAAAATGGGGAAATAAAAAAAAATAGAATTTCCAACTTGAGACCAGCACTTTCAACATCTGTTGCTTATAGAACATGCATTGTTGCATTTTTTGTTCCTAGGGATCACCCTGTAATGCAGCCTCCATTACCTGGGTTGTTTGGGGTCTTTCAGGGTCCTGTTTTGGGGTTCCGTCTTGTGGAGGTGGGGGTGCCCCCCTCAGTGCAGGAAGGGCCCGTCTGTGGCACCAGAGCCCAGGAGCACAACCCCCCGAACTCCCTGCCTCTGCGCCTCGTGTTAACACGCTGTCCTCCGCCCCGTCCTTTACCCTCTCTCTCCTCATCTGGGCCATCACGCCCCCAGCACACCCTCCATGAGCTTCGAGTCAACTCCTGAGCTTGTGGACAGAGGATACCTGGCCTCAAACCACCTGACACATGTCTGGGGCCTGTTCTCTGGGCCCTTGATTCACAGATTGATTAAAACAGTTGGTGTTCCAGCCTCATCCTTGGCCTTCTGCTCACAAGCAAGGGTCTTCCCTGCTGCGCTGGGCCTGGACCTCCCAGGAACTTGCCCTGGGCTGGGAGGAGGCTCGCCAGGGACCACCAGTGTCTCCTGGGCCCCTGTGGAGGCAGGGTCTTCACCAAATGATTAGAGACCAAGGGGACCTGGCGTGTGACCCAAATAAGCCACCCAGAGTGCGTCACCACACAGTCCCAGTGGCTTCCCTTAGAAAACAGCACCCCCTGGAGTGTACCCCGAGCTCCGGTGACTGCTACAGAGGAGGAGACCGGCTGGGCCCTAGGACAGGCGATGTTTTGACCCCACTTCCTGTAATTAGGAATTGGGAAGAAGGCATGGTGGGTGGGCCAGCTGCCTTCAGAGGGCTGGGTTGTGAGTGGCATTCTTGCCTGTGCAGGGTGGGCACCCCCAGTCACACGTGGAGGGAACAGTGTCAGCGCGCGTCACTCAGGCCCCTTTCCTGGGGACTTGCTGCTGCGCAAAGGGAGCCCGCATGCCCAGAGCTCCTGCAGCAGAGCACACTCCCGCCCCCGGACATGGCTCAGGGGCAGAGGTCAGCACAGACAGCAGGCTCACGGTTTATTGTGAACCCAGTCTCAGGTCTGCAGGCAGACCAGAAGCCCATTCTGTCCCTTAGCACATGAAAAGCAGCGTTCAGAGCAGCTGAGCCTGGTGCCCTGGCATTGGGGGCCAGGGCTGTGCCCAGGTCCCCCGCCACATCCCCAACCCCCTTGGGCCAGGATGCCAGCTGGTAATGTGGGCGGGAATGGGCAGGAAGTGACCCCATCCATTGGAGAGCGGCATGCAGTTTTGGAACTCCGAGCTAAGGAGGGTTAACCGTCTGTCTCACAGGGACCAGGACAGGCAGTGTCTCAGGGCTTGGGTCGTGCTGGGTGGCAGGAGGGGACAGAATTGACATCAAAGTGGCAATTTTCAGGACTGACTCTTCCACCGTTTACTTGGCTGGACCCCAGGGGGTTTGCAGAGCAGCTGTCATCGCTCAGATCCTCTGTCACCCGGTATCCACCTGGGAATCTTGTGACAGATGAGCACCAGTCCTGCAGACAGAAGTTTCCAGAAGGCCCAGGCCACTCCCATCTCATCCCTGGGCATTGTCAGCCCTGATCCAGGGACCAGGAAGGAACTGGACATAAGGCCACCGGGCTGTGCTTGTGCGGGATGCCTGAGGCCCCGACCCAGGGCCACGTGGAGTGGGCAGAGTGTCCACAGAGTCACGGCCTCGCCTTCCCCCACCTGGGCTCTGGGGCGGGCTGGCTTAGTCCTGGGGCCTCTCCACAGTGAGGAATGTGTCCACGGTCGCTGTCTGCCGCTCAGTGTCACTGAGGGGCTGCTTCTCGCGGTTCTGCTCAGCCCTGCTCCTCGCCCAGGATGGGGATCGCAGGCAGCCGGCCCGGGGCAGCGGGTGCAGGCCTGGTGGGAACACGCAGGGTCAGCAGGGCCTGGGGCGTCTCCTGCAGCCACTGGGCTGGGTGCAGACCTCCCAAAAAGAGGTCCGGCCACACCCTGGTGCCCTGGGTGCTTAGAAAATGAGTGCCAGGCCACCAGCATTGAGGACACGTGGGCCTGGGTGTGGCCTGAGTTGCATAGCTGAGGCCCCACCCGGGAGGGGGGTCTGACCCCAAGCAGATGGCCACCCCCATGGTCCCCAGGGTGCAGGTTGGGTCTGAAAGACCCCACCCTAGACCCCCCTGCACAGGGTCTGAGCAGGGGGAGGAGGGTCCCTGGGCCCACACACCCCACTGGCTGCCGTGCAGTTTCCGAGGCCTTTGGGGTCTTGGGTCAAGAACAATGTTTCCTCAGGAGCTAAAGGGGGAGCCGAGTCAGGCTGAGCTGAGCAGAGCAGGGGCCGGGGTGGGTGACTTGTAGTGAAACTCAGAATCGGTGCGTCCTGCCTCCGCAGGCCTGTGGCTGCAGCCTCCTGCTGGTGTTTGAGAAGCATCGTGGGGCCATGAGGACAGGGTAGGGGGAATGCGGAGTGCAGCAGTGCTGACTCAGTGGTGCCGCGGTGGCCAAGGCGCATTTAAATGCAGTTGAGATAAAGTTATTTAAAAAAATACGGGTTTGCAGGGAGCAGTTGTTTTGAGGCCTTGGGCCCCAGGGCCTGCCCTCGTGGCCCAGCGCCAGCCTCACCTGCTGGGGAGTCAACGGCCAGGTTCTCGGCCAGGTTCTCATCGTCAGAGTCAGCAAAGACCTCAGCCAGCTCCTGGTCGGACATGTCGGTCAGCTCGGTGAGGTCCAGGAGGTCAAAGTGCACCTCCAGGGAGGACACGCTGCTGAGGGGCTCTGGGGGCAGGGGACTTGTCATTGGCAAAGTCCCTCCACAAGCTGCCCCCACGAGCCCCAGGGAAGAACCAGAGCGCTGGCTAAAGCCAGGCATGGCCCTAATAAGAAACAGCCAGCCCCCCAACTCTGCTCCTACACTCAGGGCCAAATGCCTTCTGGGGTCCCCTATTTACAGACAGTACAGCTGAGGCCCAGTGAGCGAAAGCTTTAAGCCTGGGCTCCCCATACCTGAGGGTCGAGCTCCCCACAGGGCAGGCCAGACAGCCCCACCATACTCACGCCTCCTCTCCGTGACCTGCAGGAACCCTGGTGCTGGGATGGGGATTCCCACCTCCTCCTCCTCCTCGGCCACAGGTGAGTGGCAGCTGTCCCCTGTCCCGGGAGTTGGGGTGTCCAGGGCGGCCCGTGGCACCTCCACTTCCTTAACTATTTCTGCAAAAGACAGAATGTTACCTGGGAGGACACACAGGGGCTCCTCACCCCCAGGACGCAGGCAGGGAGGACTGGAGGTGCTGGGCAGTGACGAGGGTGCTCGGGTGGTCTTGGCCAAGATCCCAGACTTGGAGGCTGGGGGGCTTCTCTGAGGAGGCTTCTCCTCCCCCACGGTGGCATTCCCACACCCTGGCCCTGCATGTCTGAGCCTCAGTGCACGCAGGCCATGCCAGTCTCCCGTGGACTCTGCGTAGCCCGTTGCCTGTCGGTCCTCTGCGGACTGGCTGCTGTGACAGAACCGCGGTCACGTCTGACCCCACCAGCGCCCTCTGTCACAGCAAGAGTCAGGGCAGCAGCAGGGCACCCGGCACCTGAGCAGACCCCTTGCCCCCCCCCCCCACCTCACCACTGGAAAATCCTTCCCTAGTGTTTCTCACTTTTCTTTGGAAGAATGTAATTTCTCATTTTCAACAATTTTGTGTGTGTGTGTGTGTGTGTGTGTGTGTGTGTGTGAGATGAAAGTAGGAGGCCCCTTGGTGCTGTGCTCCGTGGAGACAGGACCACCAGGGCACTGTCTCCCACGCCAGCAGCTCCTCCTGCAGACTGTCCTGGAGCCTTCCCCGCACGTCCCCTGGGACCCCCCACCAAGCAGGTAGACTCCAGTGACGAAGCCCTGGTGCCCCCCCACAGTGCCCTGCCACGCTCTGAGCACTGAGAGCCGGGCGTGGATGGAGCAGCTGCCTTGAGTGTCGCGACGAGAGAGGCCCGGCTGGGGGGCCCAGCGCCAACAGCTGCCCTGGAGGGGTGGGCCTGTCCCCCTGACAGTGTGGTCAGCAGCCAGGATGCCGCCACAGGGGACAAGTGGGTCTGGAGGGTGCCGTGCTGAGTGGGACACTGACTGACAGTCCCGGAGCCTGATTGTCTAGGCGGGCTTCTCCAGGCGGGCGGGCAGCACCCTCCCTGGAGTGTGGCGGAGGGAAGGTAGACCTGCTGGCTGGCAGCCTGCCGGGCTTTGCACCCTACTCTCATCACATGGGGCCTGGGCCAGTGGGCTGGACTGGGGCTCAGGGGATCCGGTTTCCACCTCTGCCGCATTTGGAGTGTGGCTGGCGAGCATCCTCCCAGGGTCGAGTTACACCCACCCCTGGCCCGGCCCTCCCAGCTGGGCAAGGACACCTTCCCGCCCAGAGGGCACGAGAGAGAGTTTGGATGCTGCTCTGGGCCAAGGGGTGGGGGTCGCACAGGGGTGCAAGCGTGACAGGGGTGGACTTGTGTCCTGGCCTTTGACACAGTTCTGAGACACTTCCACACATGTGGCCCCTGGTGGTAGGTGGGTAACCCGGTGGGGGCTCCAGGCAGGTGCTCCCATCTGTCTAGAGCATCGCTATGGAGTGGGACAGTAAGTGCCACAGTGACAGTGGCTCCTGGTGTCCTCTGTCCCAGCACTTGGCTTCTTAACCAATGTCTCAGCCAGCTAAGAGAGTGGCTCACTTGTCCCAGGCACAGAGGTCACAACCACCAGCTGCTGGCCTCCACTCCTAGGTCCTGGCACGGGGCTGGCGACGGGCCAGAAGGAGGAGGACTGACCCCTGACCTGTGCCCATGGGGAAGGTGCTGTGTTCCCAGGGCCCACCAGCAGAAGTAGGCTTCTGACAGACGGGAGCAGGGTGAGAGCCCGGGGACACAGACACAGCCGTCACTGTTACTGTGAGGGACCTTGGGGGAGCTGCTGGAGGGCTGGAGCTGTGGGGGCTGCATCTGCTTGCACTTTTTGGGGGCTGCAGTGGCAGGTGGGGAGAACCAAGCCCACAGGTGCTGCCCACCTTCCTGCACAGGACCTGAGATGGGGGGCGGGCCAGGGAGCCAGCAGGAACTCAGCCAGACAGCACACTGCTGCCCCACCCTGTGGGGACATTATGTGGGACATCCATGTGCGATGTGCCCCTGTAGGTGCCGGGAGCCTGGAGCCTGGCACAGCCCCCAGTTCAGCCCCCGCGCCTCTTGCACTGACTGTAAGAAGCACATTTGATCGAATTCCAGCATCCTTTGGAACAGCAGAGCATCTAGGGTGTTGTAGGGTCAACAGAATAGTGCATCTCTGGTTTTTGCATCTTTTCTGTTACCCTTTGGCAGTGGCCTGGCCTGGGTCAAAGCTGTTGGGGGAAGAAGAAGCAGAAAACGTATGTCCTGCTATCAAGGATACTGATCTTTGAGCTGGAAGAATATGATGGAGATCAAGAGTCAAAATGCCAGCAAGGCGGCACGGTCACAGTTGAAGAAAGTCCTGCTCTGAAAGGTGGAGCCTCGGCAGGACCCAGCAACTCCACTCCCACCCTTAAACCTCAAATAACTGGAAGCACCCGTCCGCACATACACCTGCATGTGAGCGTCCACAGGAGCATTATCCACAAGCAGAAGCAGACTCAAGCCCAGACGTCCACCAGTGGAGGATGGGTAGACGGAGCAGGACGGACCCTTCCATCAGTGGAATGTGACTCCACCCCGAAAAGGACAGAGCTCTAACTCCTGCAGCAACGTGGACAATCCTTGAACATGTTATGGTGGGGGCACGAGGCCAGATCAAAAGGCTATATGTTATGCCGCCATTTATGCAGATGCCCAGAGTAGGCAAAGCCGTGGAGAGCAGAAAACCACATCGAGAAGACCTGGGGAGTGGACTGGCAGCTGGAGTGTGTGTGGGGCACGGAGTAACAGCTCCTGGGCCCAGGGCTGCTTTTGGGGGTGATGAGAATATTCTAAAATTAGGTGCCAGTGATGGTTGCACCACCCAGTGAGCACAGATGCTCCTTACATTACAGTAGGGTTATATCCCAAAAATGTTAAGTCAGAAGTGCATTGGACACACCTAACCTACTGAACATAGTAGCTCAGCCCACCCACCTCAGGTGTGCCCTGAGGAGCACTGATGTCAGCCTGCAGCTGCCTGGCATCACAAGAGACAGTGTCATGTCGCAGGTCCAGGAAAAGGCCAGAACTCAACACTCAAAGTGTATCTACTGAGTGCGTATTGCTCTGATGCCGTCGTGCGGTCAAAGAGCCATTCAGCTGACCCCTCGAGTCTGGGCCCATCTGTGCATGAACAACACTAAACTGTACACTTTGAAAAGGTGAATTTCAGCACAAATGACATTTCTCAATTTTTAAAAATCCTCAGTGGAAACAAAGGTTGATTTTGGCTGGAGTTGCAGGACAAAGCCAGGAGGACATGTACCATTTGCTGTGCACCTACTGTGCACCAGGCACCAGGCTCAGAGGCGGGGAGTAGGTGTTGGAAGTGTGAGCTCCTGGACCTGGGCTTGGTCCTAGTGTACAGTAGGTGCACAATTTGTTGAATGAATGAGCCCGAGACTCGTGTCACAGTGAGTAAAGGGGTTGTGCAATTAGTCCGTCCGATACCTGGAGGATCAAGGGGCAAACTCACAAAAGGTCAGACCCCCTGCTGTTCCTGGGTCCCTGGAGAGTCGCCTCTCAGCAGCAGGCACACGGTGGGGGGCTTGGCAGCCTGACTGAGCACCAAGCTGGCTGGGTCTCCCAGGGCAGAGGCCATTGTGGACTTTTGATGTCCCTGGAGAGGTAGGTCCTTGTTCGCAGCCCAGCACAGGTCCCCATGGGGAGGCTGATGGGGTGCCACATGCCCCCCACCCAGAGCCAGCTGCTGATGGGAGCAGAAGCGATAGGGTTACCTTGTGCTCTGTTGCTGACCTATTTTCCAGCACAATGGTGCTGAGAACTTGGCCCAAATTTCAGGTTCCTTGCTATGTGCCCAGGGCCTCGCCCCTGCACTCACCCACAAGCAGAGGAATGAACTAGTGAAGTGAATGAATGAATGCCATGAAGAACAAAATGGCTGCAGAGGGGGCAGGTGGTCACAGGTGGGCCCTGGCACTGCATCTCCCAGTCCCTGACCCCAGAACCCTGGCTCTCCAGAGGTAGGAGCTGCGGCCCTTCCAGAAATATACTCCCCACCCCTCCCTGACACTTTCACCTCTGAGTCTGTACCCTTTTGACAGTTAGGACATTGTTAATTTGTTTAGGTCCAAGGTGGGATTTTATGCTCCATGAAGGCCTTACCTTTTAGAGAGAGTTTCAGAAATTATTGTGGATGAAACAGTAGATATGCTACCAGTCCCGCTGGGTGAGTGGGCAGGAGGGGCTGCTCTGCGATTTCCTTTTGTGTGTGTGCCACTCTCCAAATAAAGTTTACAAAAGTCGCTGAGCTGGGAGGACGCCAGTCACGGCCCCCCACACGTGAGCTCTGCGATCCTGTGGCCGCTGACTATGGGTCCCTCAGTGTGGCCCTGAAAGCCGCCCCAGCCCCGCTCCCACAGAACGGGCACCTGGTAAGCCCACGTCTGTACCCTAAGCCCCTTGGTCTGAGGTTCTAGTAGCTGAGATTCTGCAAGTGAAGGGTCGCTCGGCTCCTGCACAGCCCTGTGGGGGGCCGTGTTGCCCACCTCTCCCCAGCCCTTGCTCTGCAAGCCTTGTCTTCCCATCCCCACCAAGCTGCCACTGGAAGCTGTCGGGGGTGGGGGGTGGGCAGGGGTCCTGGGACTGTCATTTGTGAGAAAAGGCTGGATCCCACAAACGACAAAACAAAGGAAGCCGACACCCACTAGCCCCTGGGAGTGTGATGCCAGCAGGGAGGATAACAAGGGCCCCCAGGCAGCGCTCTGGAATGAACAGCCCAACAACTGGCTGCAGCTGGACAGCTCGGACCACTGCTCCCGGGTCCCCCTCCGGGCCTGCCGTGTGGTACCTGGGGAAGTCGCTGGAGCCGCTGGGGGGCCCTCGGCGGGCCCCTGTGTGGCAGGGAGTGGCTCTCTGGAATGGAAGCCCCAGGAAACCAAGGATGCTCCCGGGGCCTGGTCAGGCGGGTTGAAGAGTCCTGCGTTTGCATCCTAGTTCCTAGGCGGGTGGAACTAGGTTGCAAACGCATCCTAGTTCCCCAGACCCTTTAGGAGAGGTCTTGAGAGGGGTTCCCACAGTTTTCCTCCCACTATGGCAGGACGGCGGACGGGCTGCGAGGAGGGATCACTCGGTGTAGATCTGCCCTCCCAGACCACCAAGCCTGGCAGTCAGCGCCCCCACCCCCGCAGGCAGTGCATCTCCGAGACCCCATCTCAGCCTGGCGCCTGACAGGGTTCCGGCCGCGCCCCTACCCGGCCTGAGTGCCCAGAAGCCGCTGCTGGGGCGAACAAAGCAGACGCGCGGCCCAGAGAGCTGCGTCGCCCCCCACCCAGACCCCCAACTCCGGCCCCGGCGCGCCCCATCGGACCCTGGACCCACGGCTCGGCTGTGAGGGGTTCAGGATGAAACTCTGAGCCACCCACCGAGGAGCACGACAGACACCGCTTCCGGGAGCTCCGAGGGGGGCGGGGACGCGGTCTGTGCGCCCCCCGCCCAGCGTCGGCAGCTCCCGGGAGGTGCCACCAGCCTCGCGCTGGCGGGACCCGGAGCAGCCGATGGTCTTTGCGGCTCCGGTGGCTGCATGGGCCCTGGACCAGGGGCTGCGGCTCCGCTGCGGGAAAGGAGCAGCGCAGGGGCTCCTGGGCCTGGGGCCACACTCACCTCCCGGGCTGGCGCCCTCCGGGGGCTCCATGCAGCCAGCGGCGTCACCGGGCCCAGGCGGCCCTGCAGCGGCGGCGACTCGGCCCGGCTCCCGGCTCGCGGCTCCCAGCGCAGCGCATCGGGCAGCAGCCGGGGGGCCGCGGCGGCGGGGAGGAGCTCGTGGGGCGGGGCGCGCAGCTGCTCCGGGGCCCGGGCCACCCCATCCTCCCTCCGCCCCGCAGCACAGGTGCGGCCCCGCCTGCCCCGCGCGCGCCCCCTGTCGGACCCGGGCCTGCGAACCCCGCCCCCCGCGGACCCACCCGGACCTGGCCGCGGCCTTCCAGCCCTGCGAGCACGCTCCTCCCGCAGTCGCGGAGTTCCGTCCATTTACTCACCCCCAGATGTTTATGGGGCGCCAGCTACGAACCCGCGCTTCGCACGAGAGGCAAAGACGGAGCCTACAGCCTAGGGCCCTTAAACATAGAATTGCATGTTGTAATAAATATTACGAAGAAACACTGGGGGTGGAGGGCTAGAGCTTTTAATGGGGAGGCCGAAGGGGTCGTCGATGGGGGATGGGAGGCAAGGACTTGAAGGCCAGGGGATGGGGGCAGCTCCCGGGAAGGAAGGCAGGGCGTGGGCTCGCGGGGCGCACAGAACGCTTCCTCCGGTCCCATTTCCCAGCGCTGGCCGCTGCGCGGCCCGCACACAAGCCCTCTGAGTCCAGTATCTCAATTTTGTCAGTGACGCTAAGACGACGGTACCTCGTTTTCCACGGGAAGAAGCTGAGCAGAGGTAGGTAACCCGATCTACAATGCCCAGCCAGGCAGTGAAAGCCGGAAGACCCGAATCCGTGATCAAGGTCTGCATTCTTACAAAAACAAACCAAACCAGAGAAAACTTCAGAGTTTGTTCCTAGCTGGGTGTGGAAAAGGCCTGCAGAGGGGGGACGTGGGTATGAACGGGGTGTTTGCAGGCAAGCCCCCCACCCCATCCCCTGACCCCTGCAAAGGCAGGCACAGCTGGTTCATGCAGCCCGCCCCTGTCACAGGGATCCCAAGGCCTTTGAGACTCAGCGAGCTAGACTAATACTTTTCATTTTCCTGTAGTTTACAAAACAAATGAAAACAAAACCTGCTATTTAAAACTGCCTAAAATGACGTCATGACGCACTAGGACTCACCCCTATAGTTTGCAAGCGCCCTGTCTCTGTGCCATCCCAAGGGGCGGAGGATTTGTCCTCTCAGGGAGGAAAGAGCTACAGGGTGGGTGGTGTGGGCAGCGGTTGGGCACTGGGTGCTGGGGTGGCAGATGGCATTTTCTCAAAATGATCGGAGCCGTATTTCTCACCCCACATGTCTTCTAGAATCCCCCACTCCGAGCAAGACACTCCCACCTGATTCCTTCTGCTTGAAGCTGGGCAAGGGGTGTGGCTGCTCTGCCCCATAGCATGTGCCCAAAGGGGTGATCTGCGACTTCCAAGGCTGGGTCATAAGGAGGACCCAGCTGCCTCTGAGAAGGCGTCCCTGGAGCCAAGGCGCCCTGGGTGAGGAAGCCCCAGGTGCTCGAGTTGCCCCCTGCTGGGTGGCATGTGGAGCCAAGGTGGTGTAGCTGCAGATTCATGAGCAAAACAGGTATGTCAGTCTATGGAGCCACTGCATTTAGTGTATAACATGTTATGCAGCCACAGTAACTATAACAGTAATTGTTTAATAATTATCACTATTTGCAGGACGGTAAATGTATACTGGGGGGCTCTTGTCAAAGGCATCCAGAGGCCAGTGTTTACTTTTAGCACTTTTTAAGAACATTTTCAAGCCAAGGTAGAGAGAATAACACGATCAACTTGTGTGCGCCCATCACTCAGACTCAGTGATGATCATGGATGATCTTGTTTCTTTACTCTCAAAGCCTCCTTCCAATGCAAAGCAAATCTTACACACATTATGTCCTCTCACTGGTAATAACTTCACTTCTGTCTCTAAAAGAGAGTGTAGTCTTAAGCAACTCTGCTACCCTAACATCTAGGTATCCACCCAGCTGAAGCAGTGGCTTGAGGCAGTTTACCTGACCAACCAAGTAAGTGGGCATTAGGAAGAGCCAATGTTAGATGACATATAAGAGATTTGATGATTAACATTGATTCTGGGAGTTTGTAAAAAACTCAGATGCCATTTATTCAGATTTCTGAGTTGCACAGCATGATGCTGAGTAAGTGATTTAAGCCACGCATGTGAAGAAAAGGCTCTTTCCAAAAACTTGGAACTGAAATCAACATGAAAAGAGCAGGTCGCTCGGGCCTTGTGGGGAGTCCGGGGCTCCATACATTATCATCTCTGTAGCCTGCGCTGATGAACTGAGCGACACTCTGGGTTTGTGACAAATGAACACCCTGTCTGGTTATCCTGAGCTAACCCTCCTATTCTTGCCTTTTTATGCTGAAAGGAATCATTGTTAATGCTTTTATTTAATTCAGGATTCCGAGCCAGACTTCTAAAAGGAAAACCAATCAGTATGAGGCACCTAGCATATTGGGCCTGTAAATTAAGCGTTAAATAATAATAATCACTCCGTTGTGTTACCCAGCTGCACTGCCTCGCCTGCCAAGTTCCCTCTAGGAGGCCTGGCCCTGGGGGAGGAGGCCCCTCTCAGGCCAATGGTGTCTGGCACAGAGGCGCAGGTCTTGGTTGCTCCGGCACAGTGGCAGGACCAGACCTCACAAAGGCCTCGGGGTCCGCTATAAATAAATCATATCTCTGTGCAAGCTGGGTCAATGCAGCCCTTTCAACTGGCTGCTCCCCTGCAAGAACAGTCAGGGCTGGGCTGGGCAAACAGGAAGCTCCTCTGGCTCATCAGGGTGGCTCTCAGATCTCTGCCCCCGGGTGGGTGTCTAAAAGCCAGAGAGCAAGAGCAAATAAGACATGTTGCTTCCCGGGTGGGGCAGCCAGATCCAACCTGTCTTCATCATTGCCACTCTGTTCCAGGGGGAAAAGACAGCGGACCCCTCATCTCCAAGCAGATGGAAACATCTGCAAAACCACTAATCGGGAAGATCCTAAAGTTGAGAGTGTAGAAAAACAAGACCATGAACAGTGGGTGAAGATGGGCACCTGCTTGTGACAAACGCTCAGCCTTCTGGATTGAAACAGAAGCGACACAGAGCGGTACATGCAGGTAATAGTGTAGTGGTAGAAAATTTGCTTTGGGAATTGCAACATGGTTAGGGAAGAAGCCTGATATATGGGAAGTGCAAGGATATATGTATCTATCCTGTCTGGAATCCTCTGGCAGTTTCTAGTGTTTCCTCGCCCTGAGAACAGGGAGCCACAAAGGCAGCCTCTTCAAGGCAGGGCAGTTTACCTTTGTGGAGGGGATACCTGCGTATTTCAAAAGTTTGGAGACTTTTCACGTTTGTCTCTTTTTGAAGGTTCGTGTATCTCCAAACCAACAGGGAAGGAATCTTCGAAGGTGGGCCAGATAAGGTCAGGCTCAGGGGCTGAGTTTCAGCCCAAATTTGAATCTAAACTGCATAATTCCTCGCTCCCTCCTTCACTGAAGGCATCTGTGCGGAGCACCTGGGCTAGGTCCTGTTCTCCACACCGTAGGTAAGAAGTGGACCAAACAGTAGGGGAGGCCGGCGTTGTACACGTCCATCCCGCGACGAAACGCGTTTCGGGGTGTCGGGGAGATCAAGTGTGTGAATGATGCCCGGCTGCAGGCAAGACCTACTTCTTCGCAACCTCGGACTCGATCCGGGGCGCGTTGCTGGGGACTCACTCCTGCTGTTGCCAGGGCTTGTCGCGGCGGGCGTAATCTCGCGAGGATCTTCGATACTTCGAGCGGGACCGCCCCGCGGTTGCTGGGAGACCGCGCAGCTTCCGCCGGGTGGACGCTTTTTAGTCTGTGGGTCGCGGCCGGCCTAGACGTTTGCAGCCATGGTGAGGCTGGTGCCGGCCAGACCGCCGGGGCGGGCCCTGCGCGGAGACCCTGAGAAGGGCCTGGGGCGCTGGGTTCCCGGAAGGGAGAACTTGTTGCTCCGCAAGGAGCATGCAGGGGGGAGGAAGAGTCTCGGGCGCCGCGAGTCCCGCATCCGCCGGCGCTCGTAGCTGAGAGCCCTGGGCTCCAGGCTCCTGTTCTTGCCGGCGGTCTTGTAGGCCCTCGCACACTCAGCCTCCCAGGGCCCAGATCCCATGTGTCCAGAACAGAGAGCCTTCCCGGAGCGGGAGGCTCATTCAGAGCTTGGGGTTTTCCTGGGGCCTGGGGTGCAGGGGACACCCTAGGACTTCCAGGCTCTGCGAGGCAGGAGGCCCCTCTACATCAGGGGGTCCTGGGCAGAAGGTCCAGTGCCCACGGCAGCCCAGGGGGCAGCCTGGCTTCATCTAACCGCGTGTGATGGGGCTCTCAGCTGCCCCCCTTCAGTTGTCAGTAACTCAGTTTCCAGGCGGGGAGCTGTGGGGACGCTCTCTCCGTGGGGAGCCCTGCGGTTGGCTGTGAGGGTCCCAGACGCTGAGCGGACAGGGGCCTCTGGTGGGTGGACTCCGTGGCGAAGAGGGATTAGTGGTCAGGAGTGGAAATTGCGGCGCATGGGTCTTTGAATATCAACCGTGAAAAGGCCACCAAAATACTTCTCACTAGCTTGAGGGATAGGAATGATTTGCCTTATTTCTTTTTGCTTCTCTGTGCTTTTAAGATTTCCACATAATTTTTTGTAATCACAAATTGTTACGCAGACGCGTAGACACAGACAAGCGTGGAACACAGACCGCTGAAAGCAGTGAGGGCCGAGGACGGGGATTTGGAAACGTCCTGTGGGGCAAGGGGCAGGCTAGGAGCTTCTGTCGTCTGGTCGGGATGGTAAAAGGGGGAGTGACGCCAGAGTAGTCGGAGTGAACCCCGGACACGGTGCCTCTGCAGTTTTGTATTTGGAAGAAAGAAAGCCTCTTTCGCGCGTCTGATCGTTGCCACGGAGGCGCCTCTCCCAGCACACGTGGAAGGTTCTCGTGGGCTTCTCTGTGGTGGTTCCCAAACATTGTAGCCACACGGTAGCATTGACACTGGTCCCAGGGTTGTTCTCAAGGCCACCTGGGTTTCCGCGTCCACGCCGAGGGGGGGCGGGGCGCTCGGCCCTGCACCGGGAGGTGCACGTGGTCGAGTTCCCGCCCTTCCTTTCTGAGGTAGAAAATGTTCTCTTCTGAAAAGGGAGATTTCTCCTCCTCCAAAAAACTAGTGGGGAGAGGGTGGGGAACCTCAGGGTAGAGTGAGTCCTGTAGGCAGGGGCAGGAGACAGTGAGCAGGGGATGGAGGTAGCGCAGCGGGGACACAGGAGGGAACCAGCCAGCTGGACAGCCCAGCCATCGCACAAGAGCCCCGCTTACCCAAGCGTCTCTTCTTTAACTGAAGGCGCCCAAGAAGAAAGGGAAAGGCAGAGGTACCCCGGTCGTGGACGGGCTCGCTCCGGAGGACATGAACAAGGAGCAGGTGAGCGGGCGGCCCTGTGCCTTGGCCCCATCCGGGCGCAGGGTCCCGGGTGTTACTGTGCCATCTCTGGTCCAGCCATTAGCGCGAACCTCTGCTGGGGCTGTGCCCTTGGTGCGGCCCTCCCGTCCGTGCTCAGCGCCCTCCCTCAGCGCCTGCAGTCCCGTCCCAGCCAGCACACTCGCCCCATCTCCACAATCCCCCAAGGGAGCCGAAGCAGTCACTCAAGCACACTGCACATTAAAAAAAAAAACAAAAAACAAAAAACAAAAACGCAGTCCAGCCATTGGAGAGCTTCTTTATAGTGCGGTAGGAATTTGCAAGGGAATGTTTTTCTCTGATGTAAAATTTTTGTATTTTCTTTCAGTCTTACTCTTTTATGCACCTATGGTTGTGGAGCTGTTATAATAGTGAATGAATATATAGTATTGTTGTTTATTTTATTTACCAGTAAACATAAGGAATTATTTTAAGCCACTTGTCCATGTTGATGAAGGTAGGGCTAGTGAGCATAACTGTATAATTACAGTTTTAATTAAAAGGCTCCTGAGGGCGGTAGCATGTAGCAAATCATGAGCTACACTGGCGCCCGCTGCAGCCTCCAAGTCTCTGGTGGCGGCCGGGGCGCATCTGCCACAGGGCTCAGAGTTGCTTGGGCGTGGCTGCCAGTCACCCTGCCTTCCTTTAAGAAGTTGTAGGATGAAAAATAAACACACAGCAAACCACCAGGGTCACGTGGGCTGAAATGGGGGTGTTGAGCAAAGGCCCTGGAGTAGCTTTTTGTGGGTGAGACGCCCAAGGGGTGGAGCTCGGGGCTGTCAGTGGCCAGTGGTGGGCTGGGGGCTGCAGAGGACTTGCTAAATGTGGGGAGGGGGGTCTGTGAGCGGTTTCAGCAGAGGGCGGCAGGGTGCACTTTGTGTTTTGGGGAGGTCACTGGACCGCACACCATGTCACCCCAACAGCTGGGCCACCTCTTCCCTCCTTGTTTACTTCTGGTCCCTGTGGAGACAGCGTGGACATGCCATGCCGGGTGTCAGTCTGCAGAGCATGCACAGACCCCTCAGAAGTGCCCAGGGTCCTGGGTGTCCTGGGTCCAGGCAGTGAGGGCGGGGCAGCTGCAGGCAGGTCGCCGGGCAGTTCCCCTGTGGGCGTCGGGCCCAGAGCTGTCTGTTCACTGATTTTTAAAGAGAAGCTAGAAATCTGCACGTTTATAAAAGATCTGTGTATTGAGTGGTGGCAAAATCACATCCCGTGAGACAGTCACATCCCGGGAGCCTGGTTTAGACTGTTTGAGTGACGCTAAAGGTCTGTGACATGAAGATGTCGACATCTGCGCAGACCTTGGTCACATGCTGGGGTCTGTGTCTCCCTCGCAGGGGCCGACCCCGCCTGGGCCCTCACCCCAGGCCTCCTGGGGAGGGGCTGTCAGCAGAGGGACAGCGGCTCAGGTGTGCTAAGAAGATCCCAGGAATCTGTTCTGTTTTTTCAGTTTTAAAAAAATTTTAAAGCCTATTTGCAGATTGACAGTTGGCTCTGGACCATACCTCTTCACTGTTAGGGATCTACTGGTTCTGTATATTTTTTGCTTAACATATATCTTTAGAGGTGATTCAGCATCATTTTCTGAATGTGTCTTTATGCTGCCATGTCATTTTCATATCTATGAAGGGGGACCCGAGAAAACCCAGAATTTATTTATAAAAAATTGTGTGTTTTACTTCAGCCACCTTCACAGTCCTCTCCATTCGATGCAGTACACCTAGCAAGACTTTTTTCACTGCTCAACACAGTTTTTAAACTCTCCTTTTAGTGCTTCTGCTGTCTTTTGTTTCACCTCTTCCACATCAGCAAATTGTTTCCCTTTGAAAATATTTTTATCCAGGGAAACAAAAGAAGTCACTGTGGGTGAGGTTGGGTGAATAGAGAGGGTGGGATGCACGGCTCATGCCAGTTTTTAGTCAAAACCTGCAGAACACTGAGCATGGCGTGGGCAGGTGCACTTATCAATCACCCATCAGGAAATGGATAGAAACACTGAGTCTTCAAAAAAACTTCACTGCAGCCGAATGCAGCCTCTCACAACAACACCAGCAGGTGCACTGATACAGATGGGTTCCCAGAACACGTGCCTAGTGGGGGAAGCCTGGACTATTGAACAGGGTGTTCACCCTCCAGAAGATAATTCTAGTTTTTTTGGGTTCCCCCTCATTGGTATATTTGGTTTGTATAATCTTCTAGTTTATTGAGGCTAATTTTCAACCATTTCTTTACATTATTTCTTTTTTTTAAAGATTTTATTTATTTATCTTTAGAGGGGAAGGGAAGGAGAGAGGGAGAGAAACATCAATGTATGGTTGCCTTTCATGCATCCCCTGCTGGGAACTGGCCTGCAGGGAACTGGCCTGCAACCCGGGTATGTGCCCTGACTGGGAATCGAACCGCGATTGTCTGGTTCGCAGGCCCGCGCTCAATCCACTGCGCTACACCAGCCAGGGCTTAGATTATTTCTTTTTTAATGTTGCTGTTTCCATAATGGTGTGGCTAGTATCTTCGAGGAGAAAGCCCTTTTGTTCTTTTGAGAAATGTCCTCAGTATAAGCTCCCAAGAATGGATGAAAATAGATAATCGTGTGATTAGTGGCCAGATCAGATTGTTGCTTTCTGCTGAGTGTGCCCCGCCCTGAAGCCTGAAGCCTGCCTGGTACTGTTTCAACCCCTTTCATCTCTCACGTGTTTTCAGATGAGGGTGGCCCCTCCCCATCTCCTGCTTGCCTCTCTCCTCCGGGCACCCCGCAGGTGGGTGGGTCTGGCAGGGTCCCTTGAAGGCTCTGCTCTGCCCTCAGGTGGAGGGGCATATTGCCCGCATCCGGGAGGAGCTGGACCGAGAGCGGGAGGAGCGCAACTATTTCCAGCTGGAGCGGGACAAGATCCACACCTTCTGGGAGATCACGCGGAGGCAGCTGGAGGAGAAGAAGGCTGAGCTGCGGAACAAAGACCGGGAGATGGAGGAGGCCGAGGAGAGGCACCAAGTGGAGATCAAGGTGAGTGGGGCAGCCTGCCTGTCCCTCTGGGGTGACTGCTGAGATGCTGGGCAGGGTGGGGGCACTTTCTCTCCTTGCTTTGGGGGGGATCATAGCGCTTTGAGTCCTTTACATTGGGAACCTGAAGGTATTTTTTAAATAAAAGATTACACGCATGTACAGGTGAGCGGGGGAGTAGGTGAGCATGTGTGTGCAGGCCATGCTTCTCCTGCCTGCAGGTCTACAAGCAGAAGGTGAAGCACCTGCTGTACGAGCACCAGAACAACCTGACGGAGATGAAGGCCGAGGGCACTGTGGCCATGAAGCTGGCCCAGAAGGAGCACCGCACGCAGGAGGGGGTGCTGCGCAAGGACATGCGGGCGCTGAAGGTGGAGCTCAAGGAGCAGGAGCTGGCCAGCGAGGTGGTGGTGAAGAACCTGCGGCTGGTGGGTCCCTCTGCCAGCTGCTGGGCAGCATGCGCGCCTGAGTGGCCAACAGTGACTGGGAGTTCACACTTCTGTTTAAAAACTCCCGCAGTTCTGCAGTTAATTGAAGTACTTTTTAAAAAACACCTGCAGCCATGCAGGCCCACTTTGGGGGCCAAGTGCAGAATCCTGGGTCAGGCTTGGATGCTAAATTGACACGAGGAACATCCCACTCGGCTCCTCTGCGTGAGCTGCTGACACCTGACACCCACCAGCCCCCCCAGAGACACGTCAGGTGCATTCAGAAACACAGACTGTCACCATGCCTCACACACGTCCCTAGGTGGCTGTGGCAGATTGTCCTGCAAGCTGGGCTCACAGGCACCTGGCCCACTTTCGAGACCTTTTGGTCCACTCTGAGGGAGGCTGGTGGGGGTTCCAGGTGGGGGCTGGCATTTCTTTGCTGAGGGCCTGCCAGGTGCCAGGGCCTGTTCTGACCTCTGAGGAGGGCTGACAAATTTGGGCTGATGGGGAGGGGCCGGTGTGAAGGCTGGAGCTGCTGCTCTCTGGCCCAGAAGCCACAGGAGGCCTGGGCTTTGACCCTGGCCATGCCAGGGAGCCTGTGGAGGGTTTGGGCGGAGGGAGGGTGTGTCTGGCCCTGGTGTTCACAGGTTCTTCCTGGCTGCCGGTCGAGAAGACTGTGAACACACCTGTCTCACGTGAAGGCAGCCTCCCCTGGATCTGGACAGAAACCCTGTGAAACTGCAGTTTGCAGTAAAGTCTGAGGGAGCTCAAGTTTGGGCCTCGTGAATGGTCTGGTCCCTCCTGACACAGGCTGGTTTCCAGCGTGTTCAGTGACGTGAGACTGTGCACTTACCCAAGGCCTGATTAGCTGTGTGGTCAGAGTTCCCGTTTGGGTAAAAATACTGCTATAAAAACAGTTAACACTCTTAATTCAGACTTTTAATAGCCATCTGTTGAAACAATTTTTAATGTTGCTCCAAGCCACAGCTAGAGTAGGTGAGCAGGCGCCGGGCAGCCTGCAGGTGTGTGGAGACACGGCCACAGCTGTCCAGCCTGCAGGTGGGCCAGGCGAGGTCAGTGCACTCAGTGCTCGAAAATCTGTTACCATTTTCTGAAGCTCAGAGCTGACTGCAGCCAGGGAAGTGAGATATAAAACGTGGCCGTCCGAGCCTGTCACTGTGGGCACGTCCCACAGACTCACAGATGGATCCACAGGGCTGGGCTTTCTGTAGCAGCGAGGGCGGGGCTGGCCCGAAGGGCCGTCTCTCTCTGTCACCTGGTAACTCGCCTGTTCCGGCCTCTGCAGAAGCACACTGAGGAGATCACCAAGATGCGGAACGACTTTGAAAGGCAAGTGCGAGGTGAGTGACCGGCAGAAAGTGACTCACCTCCAGGGCTCATTGCCACAGGGCTGGCGGGGCAGGTCACAGCAGCCCAGTCCTGCCAGGAGAGAGAGTGTGGTCAGTGCCATGGCTGATGGACACTCAGAATCCCAGAACAAGTTACTTCCATGTCACTAGGGGAGGTGGTGGTCCCACCCATTTGCCCACTCCTGGTCCAGACTAGGGGCAGGGGTCACTATTCAGTCTTTCCCATGGCTCCTGGCCTGAGGAGGTCTGTCCGTTTTAGCCACAGATCTCCAAGCTGTGACTGGGAGGCCACATGGGTCATGGCCAGTGACCACTGGGACATGAGGCCACTCAGCCCCCTGGAGCCCCCTGCAGGAGTTGAGCAGCAGCGGCTGCCACGGGAAAGGACAGTAGACGTGCTGTGTTGGGAGTGAGGCCCCCGAGCGTCCGCGGAAACGCTCCGCGTCACCTCGTTCTCTGGCAGCCTCCACCCGCTGGCTGTTCCCCGCTGAGCTGCTGTGTGTGCTGCTGCCTTTCAGAAATTGAGGCCAAGTATGATAAGAAGATGAAGATGCTCAGGGACGAGCTGGACCTGCGGAGGAAGACCGAGATCCACGAGGTGGAGGAGAGGAAGAACGGCCAGATCAGCACGCTGATGCAGCGGCACGAGGAGGCCTTCACGGACATGAAGAACTACTACAACGACATCACCCTCAACAACCTGGCCCTCATCACCTCCCTCAAGGTGCTGCCCATCAGACCCCACCCCGCACCCCTGACACAAGTGTCTCTGATGCTGCCCTGCCTGTCCTTGATTGAAAGTCACAGGTAATGTAACCTCATCTATGCCTGTGGCTGAAAACGAGCTGCCCCCTAACGTGGGGCAGGGAATTAATAGGACAGTGCGTGTTCTGGCGGCTGAAGGCTCAGGGCTGTGGTGGGAGCCCAGCAGGTGCCATTGTCACCAGGTGCTGGCAGAAATGGTGTCTCCACGATTTGGAACGCCCTTCTGGGCGTCCTGAACAAGCCCGAACCTGCGGAAACTCCATTCATAGAACATTCAGAGCCTATTAAAATTGTGCAAAAACTGTGCGCACACACAAAACAGGTCTGGTGGTCTGCGCCCTGCAGCACAGGACATCTCGGGGGCCTGAGCTCAGCTGGCACCCCCGCTGAGCCGGCCCGCCCTGCGCCCCCAGGAGCAGATGGAGGACATGCGGAAGAAGGAGGAGCACCTGGAGAAGGAGATGCAGGAAGTGTCGGCACAGAACCGGCGCCTGGCGGACCCGCTGCAGAAGGCTCGGGAGGAGATGAACGAGATGCGGAGGAAGCTGGGCGACCACAAGCGGGACAAGCAAATCCTGGTGGTGCGTCGCTCATTCACTCCCTGCTGCTCCCCACCCCACCCCAGCTCCCAGGCTCAGAAGAGAGGGGATGCCTGGGTAATACCTCCGGATGCCCGTGCAGGGCGGGCCCTTAGTTCATGAGAGGGACGGAGTCTCTTTTCTGTGACTGGGAGTCCGCGTGTCCTGGGAGACAGGTGTGCCCTTGTGTCTGTGAGCTGGTTCTCTCTGGTGACTGCTGTTGGCATTGGCCTCTCCCTGGGGCCTGCAGTGCAGCCTGAGTGCCCTCTGTCCCCACCCTCCTCTCTCTGCAGTGCACAAAGGCCCGTCTGAAAGTCACTGAGAAGGACCTCAAGAGCCTGCAGTGGGAGCACGAGGTGCTGGAGCAGCGGTTTGTCCAGGTGAGCAGCCGGCCGGCTCCCGGGGTCCTGCTGCCTGCTCTTCACACAGCTCTTGAGGCAGAAGCCTGTGGCACATTCGCTCACCTGTCCCTCAGGCTCCCTTCTGAGACACCGGGCGGGACCCGGCCCCTCCAGGGAGCAGCGTGTTCCCTGCACACACACGTTTCTAGTGCTGCACTCTATGGTGCACCCTGCGTCTGCAGGTGAAAACGACAAGGTCCCCTTGCAGCCTGGTGCCGTCTCACAGACGCTTCCTGTGCCTGCAGTGAGGGTGTGGCCTCCGGCCTCACATTCTGCGTTTCCTGTGTCTGCCTGCTGCGCTGCCCCTAGATGCCCCGCGCCCCCCACCCCATGAGCGCTGGCGCTTCTGCAGGCGGTTCCCCTGGGCAGCAGCCCCACTGCAGTCCTCGGCGTCCTGGCTCGTCTTTGTGCAGCTGTGTGAGCATCTCCAGCAAAGTCGGTTCCCGGCCAGGTTTCCATCTAGATTTCTGACCGAATCTGCCCCGAGTGCTCTTGGACGTAGTTTCACCCCACGTGCCCCAGGGGCCACTTCCCACCTGCACCAGCTCTCAGGGATTCAAGCTGCTGACATGCCTGGTGGAGAAGGTGCTTTTCTGAGATTTCCAGCAAGTCCGAACACGCCTCCAGAAGCGGGCGGGGTCTGCCCGGGCAGGGCACTCCCACCTTTGCGAGCCGCCTGGCGGTGCAGCAGTGTCTGTGAGCTTGGCAGACCCACGCTCGTCTTCGCGGCTGCCTCAGAAGGGCCTGCGGGCTGTGGCGGCCTGAGGGAGGAGGTGCCAGGTGTTGGCACGGTGGCGTGTGCAGGTGGGGGTGGCACGGTGGCGTGTGCAGGTGGGGGTGGCACGGTGGCGTGTGCAGGTGGGGGTGGCACGGTGGCGTGTGCAGGTGGGGTTGGCACGGTGGCGTGTGCAGGTGGGGTTGGCACGGTGGCGTGTGCAGGTGGGGTTAGGGCCGCTCACTTCCCACATTTCTGCAAAGTCTTGTTTTTCACAGCACCGTTGAAAGTAACGGACTTAGGAGATGAGAGGCACTTTTACTGACTGACAGGCAGTTGGCCCCAGGGCGGTGGCAGCACGTGGGGTGGGATCTGGGGCTCCCACCCCCAAATGCTGTTTGCTAGTTTGATGCCCTGGATTTCACATGGTGTGACCAGGGACAGATCTGACCCGAGCCCACTGCCCAGACCCGGGGTCAGGCCTGGCCGACCCCTCTGTGTGCTGCTGAGGTGCCTTCCTAGAGGGGTCCAGCTGGTGTCTCCTCCTGCCTTCCATGGTGTGACAGTTGCAGGGAGTGGGGGTCCAGGCAGTGCAGATGACAGGCTCACCCGGTGGGCCTGCTGGATGGCCTGGGGAGAGGTGTGTCCTGGCCCCTGGCAGGAGTGGCTCAGGGGAGGGTCCCTCCAGGTGCAGCGGGAGAGGGACGAGCTCTACGGGAAGTTCACTGCGGCCATCCTGGACGTGCAGCAGAAGACAGGCCTCAAGAACTTGGTCCTGGAGCGCAAGCTGCAGGCCCTCGGTGCGGCCGTGGAGAAGAAGGAGCTGCAGCTCAATGAGGTGCTGGCCGCCTCCAACTTGGACCCCGAGGCCCTGACCCTGGTGTCTCGCAAGCTGGAGGTAGGCCCCACACAGGGGTAGCCAGACGTCACTTGTCTCATGGCGAGACCTGAGCATGCCTAGATTCCGCTTATCCAGTGGAAACCCAAGGTTGGTCACAGGGGGGTGGTCCCCACGCTCATCAGTTCTCTCGTCCGGGTCACCCCTTCTCTCTTAGCTGCAGGGCCTTCGGTCCCCTGAGGCCATAGCTGGTTCTACTTCTCAGGACAGGTTCAGTGGAGCCCGTCAGGCCCTGGGGCTCCGCCGTTCTCACACTCCTGGGCGTGAGGTCTGTGGGCCTCTGGCAGCAGACCCAGACACTGGCTGGGGGCGGCTGAGCCTCCTGCACACTCACAGGGCATGCGGCCCTGGCTGTTGGGCAGCAGGGTCGGGTATGGGATTTTTCGGGGGCTGCTGGGGAGGGCTTCCCGGAGGGAGGTACTTCTGGGGAGAGGCTGAGCATCCGTTCACTTGGGTGCAGTTATTCATGGGGCTGCTCTGTGCCAGGACGTCCTGGGCTCAGGGCACGGCCGTGGATAAGACAGATGAGGCCACAGGCCAGCAGGGTCAGTGCCTGGGACCCACCAGGTGGAAGCCCAACAGTGGCCGGCAGGCCCACTCTCACCCGGAGCGGACCTTGCCCCTCTGTTACCTAGACCTGGTTTTGGGGGGTGTCACAGACAGAATGCTGATGCAGAGTTAGGGGTGTCGGTGCTGCCAGGGAAGCTGGGTGACCTGCTGCTGCCAGGCCGTGGGGACCAGGCCGACAGATGCGGGTGTGCAGCTGGCCTCCGAGTCTGCACCCAGAGGCCTGTCCCAGTGCGGATGGGTTCTTCCCCCAAGAAGCAGGTGTAGTCACTTCAGTGGGCAGGTGTTCGTTATCCTGGGAAGTGGCAGTGTCCCCGCGCAGTTTGGCTGACCGGGCACCCTGTCTGCTCGCGCTGCCCCGAGGCCCACGAAGCCTCCACATCTCCACTGAACGTGCGGCAGGCTGCTTGTCTCTCAGCCTGCACCTGAGGCCTGGTGTGCTGCCAGCTGGGTGGGGAAGACTCTGCAGCTGTCAGCCGTGCCCTTAAGTTTGGGGCTGGCAGGGGACCTTGCAAGGTTCTGGGCAGAGCAGACCGGCTCTGAGAGCCCATAGGACCTGCAGGGAAGGCCAAGGCAGGGTGGACATGTCGCCGGCCAAGGAAGGTCTGGGGAGGCTGAGTGAGTGCCCATATTCGTGCTCACTGGCTGCAGTGCCTGGGTGCTGCGTCACCAGGGACAGGCTGTTGGGGGCTGGGCAATCAGGCACACAGGAGGGGCTGTGCCTGGGCTGCTGGCAACTGTGCTCCAGGGGCCACCGCCCATTTCTTTTTTTGTTAATTTTTTATTTAATTATTTTTCAAGTACAGTTTTTCTGATGGGGTGCCTATGTCTGTGTGAGTCACTGGAGGGGGTAGGTAACAAGGGGATGAAGAAGCCTCGCACACAAGGGTCCCCACAGCAGCACCTTGGGCCTGGGTGGGGGTGGGCCAGCTCTGGCCTTTCCTGGTTGGACCCGCCAGGTCTGCCCCTTTCTAACTTCCCGAGGCTGGTGCTGCCTCCCTTGTCCCTGGAGACCTTTGCCCATGGCCAGAACCCTGTGTGTCAGGCCGCTGTTCCTCAGACAGCTGGGGTCCCAGTAAGAGTCCCCAGACACCTCTTCTGCCCTGGCTCAAACACAAGTCTCCAACTCACACCTGCCTCTCTCTCCTCAGGATGTCCTGGAATCGAAGAACAGCACCATCAAGGACCTGCAGTACGAGCTGGCCCGAGTCTGCAAGGTGGGAGGGGCCCGCCTCCCCCCTCGGGACCATCCCCGTGGCATGTGGCCTGTGGCACGTCCCCGCCCTAGTGACCCTCTTAGGACCTGCCTGTTGCACCCGTGGTCTCATCCAGCAGCTCCTCTGGTCCTCCATTGGACTTGGCCTTTGGGGTGATGGGAGGGGCCTCCTCTGATCCCCAATTAAGTCCCTAAGTCCTCCAAGCAGGACTAACCTTGAGAGTCTAACCTTACCTGACACCTGTGTACGTCTGCTGAAAGCTGCGTGCCTTTCCCTGCTTCCCGAACTTGGAGAGGGGCAGCGAGTGCCTTGACCCCACCGTCTGTCCTGGGAGCCCCATGAGCCCAAAGGCCTAGGCCCTGCACCCACACTGCACGCCCCCACCAGTGCCCCCAGCTGTGGGCTCTGCCCATGTAGATGCACAGAGCTGCCTGTAGACGCCAAGAACAGCCCAAGTAACTCAGACGTGCCCTTAGTTCTGTGGGGCGGACATCACGTGGGAGCTCTGTGCTGTGCAGCCACAAGGTGAAGGTGGTACCTGTCACCTGGGACTTTCCTTGGCCCTCCCCAGCCTCACCTGCCCATCTGAACCCTTCCCTCGGCCGCCCTGGCACACTGGTACTAGTACACACAAAATCGGGGCCACCTGCTGGTCTGCACAGCTCTTGTGAGGGTCCCCACAGGTTGCATCTGATTGTCAGGGGCCCACAGCCCAGTGAAGGGTGAGAGCCAGGCCCAGCCTCCCTGGTCCCTCTGGAGCTTGGCCTTGGCTTTTGAGCTCCTGTCGACTCCAGACCCTGACGGCCTTTGCCTGGTGATGGTGAGGATGAGGTGCCCTTGGAGCTTTGGCTCGGAGTCTCGTCTGGCACAGAACATTTCTCGGGCCTTGCCTCTTCCTTACAGCCAGCCAACAAAATTCACCCTTTTAAGAACATCCCTTTTCCAGAGGAGGGACTGGAAACCTTGTCTGTTGCCCAGACCTGTGCTCTCCTGGGACAGGGGTGGTCACCAGGCTCCTGTGTGGTTTTCTACCTCCTCCCACCCTTCATGAGCCGGGTGGCCTGAGCGAGGGTGTGGCCCCTTCTGTGGCCCTGCCTCCGACTCTGCTCTCTCCCCACAGGCCCACAATGACCTGCTGCGCACCTACGAGGCGAAGCTCCAGGCCTTCGGGGTCCCCCTGGACAACGTGGGCTTCCAGCCCCTGGAAACAGCTGTGATGGGGCAGAACCTGGGCCAGGGCCCCGCGGGACTTGTGGCCACCCCAACGTAACCCTGCCCAGGACTCTTCCCTGCACAACACCTGCTTTTATACACCGTGGGCAGCAGGTGTGTGTGGATTTGTCAGGTCAGCAAATGAAGGCTTCTCACGGTCACCGCATGTCCTGTTGCGTGGCTGTGGCAGATAAGCTCCAGAGCCACCACATCCGCCCCTCCCACCTCTGCTGGCCAGTACCAGCCAGGCGCTGCCCAGTGACGCTGCCCAGTGACAGCAGCAGCCCTCAGGTGCCACGTCGACTTTATTCATATGCGAGTCTCAGCTGACACTGGAAACATGGTGGGGCCAAAACATCCCTCAGGAGGTGGGGCCTGAGAGGCCCCTCCCAGGAGCACGGAGCCCACTGTGGAGGGTGGGGGCATCCCAGGCCGGGCTGTAGCGCTCAGCTCCCTCGGTAGGTGGTGTAGGACCAGGGGCTCAGCAGCAAGGGGACGTGGAACTTGTGGGTCTCGTCTGTGATGGTGAAAACGACCTGAGAACCAGAGGCACCAAGGAGAGGGCTGTGGGCCTGACCCCAGCACTCCCAGAGAGACGCTGGAAGCCCAGACCGTGGAAGGGGTCTGGCTCCGGGGTGGGGACAGGAGCCCCAGGCCAACCAGAGCCCGATGGTAACCGGGGGAGGGCTGTGGGTGAGGCTGAATCCTCTCCAGAGAAAGCACTGCTTGGGGGAACCCCTGGGTCTGCCATACTTCCAAAGGGCCCACCCCGGATGGGGCCCGGTGGAGGGGAAGGCAGCAAGGTTAGGCCCAGTGAGCTGGATGGGGTGCAGTGACTGCCTGTGTCCACAGGGGCTGAGTCGCCCTGGACTCTGCCCCCCACCGCTCTGGGAGACAGGGCAGGGGTGCTGTCCACTGCAGGACCTGGGGGTGAGGGCCTCCACCCTCCCGGCCAGCCCCGGCCCTCACCTCCACATATGGGTAGAAGCTGTCCTGCCCCCTTTGCTTCCAGTAGCCCTCAGTGTCGAAGGTCAGCTTGTAGGTGCCTGCCTTCATCTGGCCCGGCAGCAGGAGCCCCGGGCAGCGGCCATCGGGGTTGGTGTAGCTGGGAAGGACGGAAGGGGATGAAGTGCACCCCTGCCGGGCTCTCTCGGCCTCCACACCCTGCAGCCTCAGCCACCCCCCTCCAGCCTGACCCTCCCAGGCTCTAGGGCCTGGGCTTCTGGAGCCGCCACTGCACAATACGGAGAAGCGAACCTCCCACAATCACCCCATGAGCAATAATCACTCTAGTCTGTACTTTCTCAGATTTTCTCAACTCATAGGTATGCTTATTTACAAACCTGCAGAAATGTAAAGTGGATTTCAGGATTCATGTTGTTCTGTAACTTGGACTTCTCACTCTCTGGGTCATCCCCATGATCAATATCGACCCAGCACCTGGGTCGATATTGCTCGCACCCCAGGGGAGTCACGCCCAGGCCTTCTGGTGCCCCCAGCTGTGCCTGCAGGTGTGTTTGTCCTGTGGTCACAGAGCAGCACTGTTGCGGGCTGGGGAATGGGTCCACATGACCCCCCAGGGAACTCCACATGTCCTTCCAAGGCCACAGCTGCCCCTCACATGGGACCTGGACATCCTGCTTTTTTGAGGGGCCAAACAGGGAGGGGACAAGCTTCACACCCTGAGGCCCTGAACCCTTAGGGACCAGCCCCCTACTCCCACCTCCAGCAGAGCCTGCCTCCCTTGAGATGGGACACCTGTCTGTCCCCTGCTCACAGGTCCAGCCGAGTGCCCACACCAGCCTGGCTGGGCCTCCCCCACAGAGCAGAGCGCCAGGTAGGAGCCAGGCCTGTGAGGAGCTGGGCGCCACCAGGTAGGGTGTGAACTGTCCCTTGTCTCTTGCTGCCTGTCTCCCCATCTGTACAGGGGTCGTCAGGGGGCTGTCAGAGTGAAAGGACAGAAACACAGTGCCCAGCATGCTGCCTGGTGACCTCAGACCCTTTGAGGTCCTCCTCAGGCCTCAACCCACCGGCCCTCTGCTGTGCGGCTGTGCTGACTGGGCTGGGCTGCACAGCCCGTGGACCGGGAGTGAGCAGGGGCTCTGCCAGCAGCTCCCGGGGCACTGTTTCGGGCTGGGTTGCTCTCGTCCCAGGCCAGAGCTCGGGCCAGCCCTGTGCTGAGAGCAGGTGGTCTGGACCCCAGTGCTGTCCAGACCTCCTACCTTTTCCTCAGTTCAGTCCACTGCTGCCCATGGTCCTCAAGCCTGGACAGCCAGAGGCAGAGGCCCTGGGCTGGGAGCCCCGAGGCTGTGTCCAGCACATGTGTGGTCAGAGGGCTGCTGCCTGGCTCCATGCCTCTGCCCTGGGCCAGGAGAGAGGGACAGGGTGAGCCCTATGTCCACACCCGCTGCAATACCTCAGAGTAAACAGCCCCAGGGGGACAGAGTCCCAAACTGTCCCTGGGGAGGGTTACTGACCAGCCCCTATAAGGCTGGGGTGTGGGCACGCTGAAACACAGTTCATAAGCCACAGCGATGTGTCCCTTGTCCGCCCCCGCTAGGTCCCCTACCCTCCGGGGCACCTCCGACACACAGCGGGTCTGAGCGGGCGTGGATGGTCAGACCGGCTCTCCAGGACTCAGCTCTGTGTCTCCTGGCTCACGGGACCTCCGCCCCAGGTAGACAGGGCCGGGAACCCCAGCCCCTACCTCCAGGGACCCCAGGTGTCTCCGGAGCGTGCGCAGCCGCGGGGCGGCCCCCGACTTCATGAGCGCTGATTTGGATCTTGCAAGGGCTTGAGATGCCAGAGATCGTCCCACACCCGCCACCGCCTGTGGGGCACCTCCCCGGCCGGCCCCATCCGGCTTCTGTCACCTCCCAGGACCCGGATCCACGTGTCTGTCCAAACCGGGGGTTTGGGAGGGGGAGGTACATCTCGGCCACCAGCAGGGCCCCAGGGACTTCGCTCCCGAGGGGGCCCGGGAGGGAGAAAGCGCGCGCACAGACCTGCAGGGCTGCGGAGGCTCCTCCGGGCGGAAGTGGAGTCCAGGGAGGTGGGCCGGGCTCGGGGCGGGGCTCCCGGGCTGGAGGCAGGTTGGGGGGCGGGGCAGGCCTCTGGCCCAGCATCAGGAGGTGGGGCGCACACGCCCTACTCCCCCCAGCCAAGAGTCCCAGAAACAGGGTAAATTTTTTCCTTTTACCTGGGATACTTAGGGTTTCGATGGAAGCCTCTGACCGGTCAGGTAGGCTGTCCGATTCTGACTGCCCCTGCCCCATAGGCCAGGTGACGGTGCCTCAGTTTACCCATCCGTGAAAAGGGGCGGTAACCATTCCGGAGGTTAAGATACAGGGGATGGAGCTGAGCTGCTGTTCTTGTCCCGCCCCTCCCCCGCCCCCCCCCACTCCACCTGCGAGCCCCGGGGAGCCCTGGACAGACAAAGGTCCGGGTGGCCCACCGTGCATGTGAGGCCCTGTCCCCTCCAGCCGAGTCCTGGGCAGCCTGTGTGAGTGAAGGCGGGGAGGAGGCTGCCCTAAGGAGAAATGACTCCCTGCGGCACAGGGCGAGGCCGGGCCCAGGTGGAGTAAGCCCTAAGGAAGGAATCTCCGGAGGAAGTCAGAAATGTGACCCGCAACACACCCCGGTAGTGGCAAAATGAAATGGCTCTTGTTCCCGCAAAATGAGTTCATTCTCTGGTGAAAATAGAAAATGCTCCCAGGATTCCCTCCCCCACCTAAGTACTGAACACCTAACTAAAGGAGTTCCAGGACTGGGACTATATTGATCAGATCCCAATCCAGGTAAGGTCTCCTCAGGTCAGTTCTGGGAGATGGTCCGAAATCACCAAACTTTGCCTCTTTGTGGAGTGGTGGGGTGGGGGTGGGGGGCCGAGGTGGACGCTGAGCTGCCTGTCAGCCTTGCTTTGAACGCCTCACAGGACCCGACCCAGAAGCTGGTTGTTTAATGGAGAGAATGGTCCTTCTAGGTGGGTGCCTTGGGGGCTTCTCATCTGCTCTCTGGGTGGCGCTGGGTGGACGAGCCCAACCTGCCTCTGATCCCCAGGGTGGAGCACTGCGTGTCTGTGCAGTGTGCCCGTGTACAGCCCGAGGGTTCAAGGTGATGGCCTCCATTGTGATGATTTAAGTTCTGCACTGACAGCTGGACTCACACTCACTGATGCCAACAGCCACCCTCCCCCGTCTCCAGCCTGACTGTGCCAAGCAGAAGCCAGCACATGTCCCGTGAACTGTGTTTGCTTGTGCATCACTGTGTTGGGCTGCAGTGTCGCCCAGGCCCGTGGTCCTCAGCCAGGTGGTTTGTTAGAACTCTCTGGGCCTCGCTGGGACATGCCAACCAACCCTCTGTCCCAGGGCAAGGGCAGCCATCTCTGCCCTTGGCAGTGACTGCCCTGGCCTGGGCAGTGACTTGAACAGGGAGACAAAGGCAGCAGGCAGAGTCCGCGACAAAACCCAGATGTGTTTGTCTTGGGAGGGGGGCAGGGGAGGGGCTCTGATTTCAACCACGAAATGACATTGAACATGGACACAGGCATCCTTCCCATGATGGTTCAGCCACCGTGATGTGTGGGTCTCTCTGTGGGTGGTGCTTGTCCATACGGCAGCCAGACCAGCCAAGTTCTCAGGTCTCTCTGTTCAGGGCCTTGGCTGACCAGGAAGAACCATCGGTTCCAGGTTACTGAGCAGCGTGTGCTGCGTGTTTTACCTGCGTGGTCTCAAATCTGTGAGGCAGAAACGCCTTCAGCCACATGCCCGGAAATATCAGCGAGATGGTTCAAGAGCAAGACTGACCTGTGGCTCCATCACACAGTCCAGGCCCAGAGGCCCAGCTGCCCAGCAGCCCAGCAGCAGCACTGGGCACACAGCTTCAGCTGTCTTTCTGCTCTGCTTCCTGTGCCTGTGTCTTACCCTCCTGGTAGCGAGGGACTCCTGCATGTCCAGTACCACATGGGAGGGCAGAGGGCAGGAGCCCCTCCAGGAAGATTTGCTCTTTGTGCCACTGTCTGTAGCAGTTGTCTGCTCTGATTGGTTGGTGCATATTCTAATTAAGAGTGTTCTCATCAGTAGGTGTCTGCTCTGATTGGCTGGTGTCTGTGCCCATGGGTTAGGACGACCACAACACCCATTGGGCCCTCCTGCCCCCCTACCCTGTTGGTCTGGCCCTGAAGTGAGCACACTGATGAGTAATGATGCCCCTGTGCTGGCTGGCAGTGAGCGTGCTGTGCTGAGGTACCGTCTGTGGCTGCATTGTAGGTGTTCTGTGTGTCTGTTGCTGTGACTTGCATCCTGGTGGTGCCTGCAGGGAAATGCAAAGGGGAGTTGATATCTCAACAGCTAACAACTAGCATGGCAACAAAATTAGCACAGAAGTCTTAAGTGCAACATGCTGCCATTTTTTTTAGTGTACTCACTGTGCAGACAGTAATACTGCCTGTGAAGTGATACAAGCAGTATAGTCCATCAAATTTTTGTAGCAATTTCATGGTTATTTGTTTACTCACTTAGAAAGATTTAGGGCTTCTTCTAACATGGCTGTAGCTGTGGGAACGCTGTCCCTTGTCAACTTGAAACTATCAGGGACCTGAGTGGAGGGGATGTGGCCGTCCCAGGTCTCATCCCTCCACCTGCCCCACTGCGCCCAGGCCCTCAACCCTCTTTCCCTGACAATGTCAGTGGAGTCCTGCCTGGACACTGGTCCCATGTCAGGAGCTGGGCTGACTGCAGAAGCCAGAGAGAAGAGCTGGCTGGGGACAGTATGTCTTAGTGGCTTGAACCAAGACTCTGGATGTTGGTCCATGAAGGACCCAATGTGGTTGCACTCCTCATGTGGTCATCATGAGATGGTTGGTGCTGGCTGGGGAGCAGGGGTTTGCTGTGGGGGCAAAGCCACCATGATGACAGAAAAGGGAAGGAAAGAGGAGAAAGCAGTGGTGGCCGCCAGGGGCAGGTAGGAAGGACAAGAGGACAGCCCCTTGGAACGTCCCTTCATGCAGAATTTTCAGGTTCATTTGCTGTCAGTTCCTGCGACCTACTCTGAGCTCAGGTGCTGGCCCCCCAGAGTCGTGGTGCCCAGTGAGTCTCAGCATGTCTGCAGAGTGTACAGTTCAGATCTGCACCCAGCTCTGCTACCTCCACCATTAACCCCCTGTGCAGTCCCTGAAAGGGGCTTCAAAAGGCGTCATGAATAATTTCACAAGACAAGTGGCTATCTGAAACACGTAAGAAGTGAGACAATCTCCCCTGGCTCTAGCACCCCCTGAAGCCGTACAGGAGACGCAACGTGACGGATCGCTTCTCTCCGTCCAGGGTGGTCGTCACCTGCAGCCACCGTCTTTCCTGATTTATAACAAACGCTGTGAGGAGGCTCCTCAGCACCTGGGCCAGTGATGCCCAGAAAACCCAGACTTCCTGGTCCTTGTCCATTGTGATCTGAAGACACAGAAGCAGGACCTGCAGAGAACAATCCCCATCGGGTCTAAATTCCCTCAGTGGGGCTCCTTGAATGAGACCAGAGTTTGCCCTGTGCCGTTCTTGACCTACATTTTTGGGAGTGGGCCTCAGTCATTCTCTGAGAAGTAGAGAGGAGGGGTAATCCAGTCTTTTTTTTTTGCCTTTTGAGACCGAGGTGGGCATTGGGGAACATCAGTACGTCCATCTACTGTCCAGAGAGAGATTCCTAAAAGGACAGGAGGAGGGGGACCACAGCACAAGCCTTCCTGCCCAGTAAGCCGGGTGGCTCAGTCCCTACCATGCTGACCTGTGGGAAGGGCTTGGATTTGCTGCCATCCTGACCTTCCATTACCAACTGCAGCTTCTGAGGCATCTTGGGGGCCCTCCTTAGAAGGCATCATCTGGGCAAAAAGCTACAAGTCCACATGGTATGTATAGACACTGTTTACAAGCCTGCTCTACGAGATGGACATCGTCCCAGGTCATGGGGGTGGGTGTCCCCCTTTCATGAACCCACCAGCAGGAACAGGGTGGGTCATGCTTAGGTCTTCCTCATGCAGGAGAGGGTACAATAGGGGTCCTCACTCTTTGCCATCCCTCTGTATTGAAGTCACTCCTGGTTCTAAGAAAAGTGTGACCTCTGGAAGCTGCCAGCACCCTCGCTTATGCAGATGTAGATGTTTACCCTGTTCTCACCCTGGGTCTCACTGGACTCCCACCCATTGGGTCCACAGGAATTCTGTGCTCCTGGGCCATTTTGGACATTACCTGGGAATGGGTGGCCAGGAATGACCAACATTGTGCATGTCTGCTCTGCTTATAGCATGTGCATTGTCCCATCAGAGTTCACAAAAGTTTAAAGATACAGTAAGAGTTTCAAGATGATGTCAGTGGTGTATTAAACCCCACGGGACCAAGGTACAAGGTAAGTGCAAGGTAAGCTGCTGTGTCGTGGGCTTCACAGACACTGTGTGCAGATGAGGTGCACCCAGGTCAGGCAGATGCTGCCCCCAGACTCAGCTCTCAGCAAGGGCTGGGCAAGGGTCTCATTCCACAGGTCATTCTTAGTACCAGCCGCCTGTGTTGAGGAGGATAGGAGGCTGCCCAGGCTCAGTGGGAGGGTGGTGACCTGGAGGGAGGCATGTCCCTGACCTCAGGCCTCCTTTCCAGGGCAGCAGAGTCTATGTGGGGAAAGCAGTGGTGTCTGCACAGTTTCTAAATTTGGCTCCAGGCCCCCACCCAGTCCTTATCTTCCCGTGCTCAGCACTAAAGACCTGGAACATGTGGGCACCAAAAGCTGTTCGGCAAGACTTGTGATCTCAGTCATCCTCTGTGCTGACTTAACTTTGAATGTCAAACCAAAAGGCTGGGGTTACCCTCCCATCATACAGAATACAAAAAAGGCACAGAGAAGTGAGAATCTTGTCTTAGGTCACACAGCTGGAGAGGGCACAGCTGAGGCTCAGACCCAGTGAGGACTGGTCGGGAGTCCGTATGCTGTGCACCATGAGGTGCTGACCTGAAAGGCCAGCAAGGGGAGAGCAAGGCAGACCGGGTGCCCAGACTGAGCCAGGCTCACATCCACACACATGCACACATCCCTCTCTGCCCTTCCCCACTGAGGCTACAGAGGTCGGAGGAAATCAAAAGAGGAGCCAAGAGGGGGCAAGGGAGGAGGGTGGGGAGCCTATTAGGAGAAAAAGCCCCACTTCTCGGGTGTCCAGGAAATTCTCTTCCCTGGTGAGTCTGTCTCATATGAGAGGGTGGACAAAAAAATTAGAATTATCTTCTGGAGCGTGGGCCTCTTATAGTCCAGGCTTCCCTGACTAGGTGAGTGTTCTAGGAACATAACCTGTATCAGTGCACCAGCTGGTGTTGTTGTGAGAGGCTGCATTCGGCCTCAGTGAAATTTTGAAGACTCAACACATCTGCCCATTTCATGATGGGTGTCTGACAAATGCACCTGCCCACACCATCCTGAGTGGTCAGCAGTTTCTGACCCAAAATGCCCATGACCCCTGTGCCCTACCCTCCCTATTTACCCAATCTTGCCCTGAGTGACTTTTTCTTTGTCCCTCCAGATGAAAAAAAGCCCTCAAAGGGAAATGTTTTGCTGATGGAAGAGATGAAAGCAAAACAATGGCAGAAGTACCAAAAGGCATCAAAATTCACAAGTTTGAAAACTGAGCAGTGGGAAAACATCTTCACAGGTGTGTGGCAGCTAATGGAGAGGACTTAGAAGGTGACTGAAGTTTAAACATGTAAGAATAAACCCGCAGTTTTTATAAATAAATTCCATGTTTTTGGGGTCCCTCTTCCATACACCTCTCCTTGGGCAGTAACCTAACTGGACTGACTCCAGACTTATGACTTTGCAGGACTTGAGTTTCTGTTGCTGAGTATGAGTTCTCTGGGACCCCCTTGGAACTCTCTGCTTTCACTGATAAGGGGGATGAGGTATTTGGGCTTCAAATTTGTATGGAGACAAATTTAGAACAGGCCACAAAAACAGTAACAAAACAACCACTATGGAGGAGATTGGTGTTGACATCTTCATAGCATTTAAGAAACTGTTTGTCTATCTCACCTCTTGTTATGAAAGTAGAGGATTTGTTTAGCCAGTTACTTCTTTACAAATGACACTCTTGCGGACAGTAAAGGGCCAGTACACTTATCTGAAGTCCCCTCAGAGCTGAGGTATAAACTGAGTGGTGGCTACATTTGTCCTTTGGCTATTGAGATGCGATTTAAGGCTAGCGACTTACTCAACTTTCCTGCAAACATAGGGCTTCTCCCCTGAGTGTGTCCTCTGGTGTGTGATGAGATGTGCCTTCTGTGCAAAGCCTCGCCCGCACTCCCTGCAAACATAGGGCTTCTCCCCAGAGTGTGTCCTCTGGTGTGTGATGAGATTTGTCTTGCATGTAAAGCCTTGCCCGCACTCCCTGCAAACATAGGGCTTCTCCCCAGAGTGTGTCCTCTGGTGTGTGATGAGATGTGCCTTGCGTGCAAAGCCTCTCCCGCACTCCCTGCAAACATAGGGCTTCTCCCCAGAGTGTGTCCTCTGGTGTGTGATGAGATGTGACTTGCGTGCAAAGCCTCGCCCGCACTCCCTGCAAACATAGGGCTTCTCCCCAGAGTGTGTCCTCTGGTGTCTGATGAGGTCTGACTTGCATGCAAAGCCTCGCCCGCACTCCCTGCAAACATAGGGCTTCTCCCCAGAGTGTGTCCTCTGGTGTGTGATGAGACTTGTCTTGCATGTGCAAAGCCTCGCCCGCACTCCCTGCAAACATAGGGCTTCTCCCCAGAGTGTGTCCTCTGGTGTGTGATGAGACTTGTCTTCTGTGCAAAGCCTCGCCCGCACTCCCTGCAAACATAGGGCTTCTCCCCAGAGTGTGTCCTCTGGTGTGTGATGAGATGTGCCTTCCGTGCAAAGCCTCGCCCGCACTCCCTGCAAACATAGGGCTTCTCCCCAGAGTGTGTCCTCTGGCCTCTGACAAGATGTGACCCATCGTTGAAGCCTTGCCCACACCCTCCATGCTCCATCATTACAATTCTTGACATTCCCCCTCCCACAGATAGTTTCTCTGTGTCCTCTGGATGCACTCTCTGGCCTGTGCTGGGCTCTTCCTCCATCATTTCCTCACACTCATTCGAGCTCCCCATTTGTTCCCTGAGAGGTTTCAAAATGGCCCTTAAAATCCTCCTCTGTCTGATCCTTTGAAGCAAAGAGTCAGACCTTCCTTTGACCTCTCGTCCCTCAGTGGTGTCTTTCCAGCTGTGCGTGCTAGTATGTTGCTGCTGCTGATTCTGACCCTCTGGGCAGGGTCCCTCTGCTTGGAGGTGTTTTCCTGCAGATGTTCCTGGAAGTCTCTGAGAGGGGTGGCTGCGCTTCACATGTTGGCTGAGGAAATTCTGACTGGAGAAGGCCAGAGAGCAGGAGGGACATGGGTGCACCTCTGGCTTTGGTTCTGCTGAAAGAGAAAGGTTTGGTCAGGGCAGATGTTGACGACAATGCCTGGGCCGCACAACTTGCCTCCTGGTAAGACCTGCTCCATGAATCCTTCTTACTGTGGTGATAACACAACCTCTGTCCCTCACAAAGTGTCCCCTCACCATCTATTTTCCTTTTCATTTTCATTCAGTGCATCTTCAGAAATCCAGAAAGCCCACATCAAGGGTCTTTTTTAATATTGCCCAGACTAGGGACTTTTGGAGCATGAGAAGCCATTTCACTCCCTGTGTGGATGGAACTGCAGTGACCTTTCCCATCTGTAGGTATTTGCTAAGTCATGTTAAAGAGGAAAACTACAGGCCCCAACTAGGAATTGCTTCTCTCAGTTTTCCAAAATAGTAAAATAAAATGTCCTTCCTCAAGCCTCAGAACAAATATTTATGCTTCATTTAGTGTTAGCCCATTTCAAATACACTAAGACCTATTTCAAAATATTTCAACCACATTTCTTACACGCCTGACTCCTGTTCCTCTCTGGCTAATCCACATGCTCTCTCACTTGGAGATGAAGTAATATGAGGGAATTCCCCACTGGAGTTTATTTTCTAAAAATTAACAAAACATAATGAGAATAGAGAACACACCACTGTACAGCTGACAACTGCACACTTTCACTCAGGAAAGTCCCCAGTGTCTCAACTTGGGTCAAGGGCACTGCATTTCTGGGCTGCTAAGCATCTGTCTGATCTCCTTTCTTACCCTGTGTGCTGAGATGAGACCTGAGTGACCCTCAGCCAATTCAACGCCGCACCTCTTTTCTTCCCTGGACTAGCTGCTCCCTCTGCCTGGGATCCTCTGCCCGCAGGTATTTTTGTAAGTGTTGTTTCCTGAGGGGCCCTTCCCGGACCACCAGCCTCAGCCCACCTTCCCTCACACTGATCCCCAGGCACTTGTCCTGGATTACTTTTCTCCAAAGCACTAACCACTGTGTGATATTACACACGGGCACGCAGGTACCCCTGGGTTTCTCTCCTTCACCAGTCAGCTGCTTGAGAGCAGTGATTCTGATCAGGTGTTAATCTGCATTTCCAGATCCCAGAGCCCTGTGTGGCACAGAGTAGGAACTGACAGGGCAACTAACTGAAATCACGAATAAATGCATATTAACATACATATTTCATTTAGAAATTAGAGTAAATTAAGAAGAAAACAGCTATAAAAAGGCCAGAAAAACCTGCTTCGGTGAGGTCAGTTGCTAAAAACTTGTTTTTTGCTTTGACCAGGATGGCTCAGTGGGTTGGGTGTCGTCCCACAACGGAAAAGGTCATGGGTTAGATTGGTGGTCAGGACACAGGGCTGGGTTGAGTGTTTAGTCCCCAGCTGGGCAAGGGCTCATCAAAGAGCCCTTATGAGGCAACTGATCGACATCTCTCCAGCACACTGATGTTTTCCTCCCTCACCCTCCCCTCTCCTCTCTCTAAAAATAAATAATTAATATCTCTTTAAAAACTTGAGGGTTTTTTGGCCTCTAAGTCTTTCAGTACTATATGCTGGACATGGTATATTTAGGGCATGAAGAATTTAAAAAATTTGTGCAGAAATTAAAAATATAAAAATTCTTCATAAGAGTCAAAGGCATATGAAAGGAATCCTTAATTTCTAAAACATCTAATATGAAACTTTACTGACTTTAGAGGGGATTTTACTCAAGAGGTGGACCATGACCGTGAACATTTCTAAGGAAAGTTTTTGCTTTTCTTTCCATTTTGAGGAAGAACAGTGGTGCCCACCTCTCCCGGCCACGGGCTCTCTCTTCCACTTGCTGCCCCACTTGATGCCCAGCTCCTGGCCATACTCTTCCCCGTACCAGACCAGCAGCTCACAGCCCGGCCTGACAACCCGGCAGGTTCGGTAGAAAATCTGCCTGTGATATTGAAAGGCCACCAGGTTCTGCTCTTCGTCATCCCGGGCACAGTTCACATACCTGGGATTGAGGCAGATGAAGGGAAAGAAAAGCACAGTGTGAGTTCCCACTACCTGTGACATCCATGTCCAGCTCCTCACTGATTCTGAAGGCTCTCAGGCTCTGAGGCCACCCACTGCCCCTAATGCTCCCAGGGAACCTTCAGTTCAGTGTCTGAGCATCTGTCAGCACGTCATGTGAACGCCTGCCTCCCAGTCCTGCTTGCAGTGCTAATGCTTCCTAATACCATTTTCTAAAACTCAGTTACAGACTTAACCTCAATCCTGACTGGCCATAAAACCCAGTGACCTCTGAGTTCTCTAAATACTAAATCAAGTTCTGTTTGACACCACAGAACCTGGTGTTTGATCTAGACTCAGTTTCCAGATTAGCTCATATCATTCGATACTTAGGCCAAGTCCATCTTCTCTTGAGGGACCTTTCTCCAGTCTCCCCACACTTTACTTAGGGTGCCATTCACTTGCCTCCCCAAGGTTCCCATGGAAACTTGGAGGTCTCTCTGTCTTAGCAAAATACCACAGAACAACAACAGTTAATTCATTCTATTTCCCCTGATGAAAGAGCCTCCCTCAGGAAAGGGGCCCATGACCGTTCCTCTGCAGGCCTCAGAGCCCAGCTCTAGTTTGAAGTGAGGCTGCGCTGGTTCGCTGCCCTCACAGCTGTAGGCCATCCTTGGTCTGTGCTCTCCTGACACAGTGCTCATCTCAAAAAAAAAAATAGGAAAATTACAGTTAAATGTTTCTGAAAGCAATTGTCTCATGTCTGTCTGCAGTAAGTCCTTCATAAGGACATGGCTTGTGTGATCTCTTTAAGTAACAAATTCCTCTGTCTAAACTGGAACATAATATGTGCTTAATCAATGTTCATTAGATTAATTAAAGTACTATCCAGGGTCCCAGGAGAATCTAGGGTCTTTAAGGTTTTTTCTGCCCCGGAGCTCAAATTTTGTGTAGCATAAAAAATTTTTATAAAATGTTTCTATAGAAACTCTTTATATTTTCAAGAACATATGCTATATTTCTATCTCCTTTTTTTCTAAATGTCTCTTGATATGAAAGAACACTGTGTAGAGAAAAAGAGGAACAAAGGGTTAAGGGAGAGCTCTGGGGAGGCGTGATGACAGGGAAGAGGAGTGTCCCCTCTGGCACCCAGAGACCAGTCAACCTCACCTCATCCAGTTGGCCCAGGATTGGTCCTTCCCATCCACATACTCATAGCAGTTTCTCCCTTTGGTGATCTGAGTTTCAGAAAAGAAGTTAAAGACCTTTTATTTTCTAGGTGGGGAGGTAATAGTCAGAGTTATTTTACTCCACTGTCATCAAAGCTCGTTTGGCCTGCATGGGGATTCAACTGCCAGTTGTGACCACATGATGTTTTTCTTACTCATCACCTGCACAGCCAAGTCCACCTGTCCAATCAGAGCAGGAGTCCCACAAGGGAGAAGCCGCTCCTTTGTGTGTGCACCACTTTGCTCCCACTTACCTTTTAAAAAATATATTTTATTTCTAGAGAGAAGAGAAGGGAAGGAGAAAGAGAGGGAGAGAAACATCAATGTGTGGTTGCCTCTCACATGGCACCCACTGGGGACCAGGCCTGCAACTCTGGCATACGCCCTGACTGGGAATCGAACTGCGACTCTTTGGTTCACAGCCTGCGCTCAATCCACTGAGCTATACCAGCCAGGGCCCCACTTACCTTCTGATCCTTAAATGGGAGCTCTGTGTTCATGTAAAGCCCAGTCAGTACACAGAGCTGACTATATTGTCCCCTCCATGTCTAGCATTAGGAGGTGAGGTCCCTCCAGGCCACGGGGAGGGTGTGGGAAGCCAGAGGACAGTGGAAGAGGTAAACACTTCTCACCAGCCAGGAGTAGCCGCTGTTGGCTGCCTCTTCATCTTCTGTGATGTGTCCTTCATAAGGGCCAAAGTGCAGACCCACTGGCAAATCAGCTGCTTCATTCCACACTCCAAGCCCAGCCTCAGGGATGCCAGATGGTCCGATTCTCAACCCAGGGGGCAGGGTGAGGGTTGAGCGGTTGGGATGCCCCTTGTGCACTGCATGGTCCTTTACAAATGTAGGGGGCCCATGCACAGCACAGCTGTCGATGAAGAAGTTCTGACACTTTTCACAATCTGGAGGCGAGAGAAACAGGGGTTGGGGAAGGTGTAGTGCATGTTCCTGGACAACAAAGAACTTCAGAGAGAAGCCAGGCCCTCACATCACTGAGCCCCAACCCTGCACTCCTGGTCAGCGGAAGGAGGGAATGATTTGGGGACCAACTGGCTAGATGCAATTATTGTATCAACATGCTTCTTAATGAGGGTCGCTTACAAAGGTAGTCATCGTCCTGGGGCTCGCTGACTTCTTGGTATACATGGCCCTTTCTTTCTCGTAGGCTGTACATCTTCACATCTATCTCCTTTCTCCTGGGTTCTAAGTTGGAGAAGAGCAGTTGAGCGAGGTTGGTGGGGTGTGGAGTATTAGTTCCCATTTTGTCAGAAAACACAATCTCCTCCCATCAAATTATCGCCTGTCCCTTGTACATAATTTGGTATTTTACTCAGTTAACTATTGGTTCAGAGAGACTAAGATGACTGATTGAATTTTAGTTTCTAGATCTTCCCATTACCGGGTTTAACTTGCCAACCTTTAATCATTCATAACATATTCATTGAGTGCACTTTGTGTGTTAGGCATTGCGTAGAGGCCTGAGCACACAACACCAATGAAGTGTGGTTGCTATTATCACAGATGGATTTACTGAACGACTTGCATGTGTCCATTGTTTTAAATTTAATGTAATGTTTTCAGACAATATATGAGTGATGTTTCCTTATCTTCACTTTACATATTAGCATTTGGAAGCTCAGAGAATTTATAACATTTGCCTGAAGCTCCAGTGGTAACGTCAGTCTCAGCTTAAATCCAGGCATCCGAAGTCCTTCTCACATACCTAGGTCATACTTATCAGCCCTTTTGTAGGACTTATAGGAACTAATGTTTCCGAGTGATTTTCTCTTACCTGATTTTTGTCTAATGTGCTCTCCAGAGGCACTTGCTTCTCCAAGAGGGGACACTGGTTTCTGGGCCTGCTCTGAGCCACTTGCAGTCATCAAATTTGTTGTTCCGGACAATTCCTTCACACTATATTCATTGCTTAATGGCGTGGACATTGCCTTCAATGTGAGGGCCATGTATTAAAGGGTGATATGCATTTATTTAATTCTTAAGGGCCTATGATATATTCTCATATGCATGAGTATGAGAATATATCATAGTATGAAGTAATTGATACTTCAACAGCCCTTGGAAATATCTGGGGAATGTGACTATTGAATGAGAAGAAAGGGCCTATTATGCGTATTGAATTCAAGACTAGAACCCATGCCTTAGGCTCTTTTTTTTTCAACTTTCTCTATAATAGTGAGAGTGAGGCATATATGGAAGAGAATAAGAAATATTGGCAGAAACATATCTAGATAATAAAGAAAATGATGCTAAAATTTGCGAACTGCTGTATCTTGGGAAGAATATTTGTAATCAGATTAGCTGATTCCCTCTAATTTTGTTTGAATGAAGTTGTACCACTAGCTAGTTCTCTTCAGTTTCCTGATCTACAACAGGCTCATTCTTAATGTTTACAGTGACCATGAAATACAACAATGTTCACTGTGAACAGCAATATAAAGTGTTCTGTGAGCTGTGAATACAGTGTGGATGTGAGATTACAGTCCTGCTATCAATTTACCCGTCGGCTGTCTCCATATTTGACATCTCACAGAAACTATCTTCAGCGTTCATTGACCCATTCTAGTTTAATTTGCAATTGTGAAATCATTCATTCAGCAAATATTCAGGGGCCCTCAAGGCCATGAGACTTCTGAGAAGAATGCAGTTGGACCAGCCTCTCGAAGAGCTCACAGCACAGCGGCGGACCGGCCGTCTGAACAAATGATTCCAAACAGGGTGAGAGTGGCCTCCTTAGTGCTCAGAGAGAGAAGCTGTTACTTCCTTCTACAGGGATGGGCATTTGAAATCGGTTGCAGATGGATGAGTTTCTGCTGAATAGTGTGTAACCTTAAGCCATTTTATCACATGTTTCTCAATCATCAAACCTGAAGCACCTCAGGGGTGGGAGATACTTTCTTAGAGTGGGAGGCTCTGGTGCTGGGGAGCCTATACCCTTCTTTATGTGGGACTTTCCACCGTACAAACTGCCTACACATCAGACGCTTCCCTCATAGGGGTGTCCAGACTGTGGTCCGCAGGCCGCATGCAGCCCAGAATGGCTATGAATGTGGCCCAACACAACACTGTAAATTTACTTAAAACATTTGAGATGATTTTGTGCTTACATGTTGCAATGTATTTAATGTGTAGCCCAAGACAACCCTTCTTCTTCCAGCGTGGCCCAGAGACTCCAAAAGGCTGGATCCCCCTGCAGGGTCTGACTGCGTCTCTCACCTCAGCGTCGCAGGAGAGAATTGCAGTTGGAATCATGAGTCAGATGAATGGTGTCGTGATACACAGATGAGACAGTGTAAACTCTATAAAACTATGGCAGTTTTACTGAGTAAGTGGTTTAGGGAAGGAGCTACGGATTAGATTGCACAGAAGCAAACACTTCTATGTCTCAAACTCTCTACGTTCTCCTACTCTTACCTGCATCTGTATCCACGGGAAGTTCTTCTCGTCAACAGGGTTGGGAAATACTCACCTTCTGGTGTTTACTCTGCTCCCCTCTGAAGGCCACCCAAGAAGGTTTCACTAAAAGATGATGAGAGATCGGTGTTTTGGCTGGTAGATGTTTCCAAAATCTGGAGATTCTCATTAGGTACACAGAATTCCGAATCAGAGGATAGTCCAAGGGCAATCCAAGGAAGATGGAAAATGTTTTCTGAGCCATCATTAAGGCTTAAGCTTCTATTGGGGGCACCAAGTAATATTCTTAAAATGCTTTTTAAAAAACTAGACAAAGCATCATATGTGCTTAATCCTCCATTCATAGAGTATTTGTTATATATGTTAAAAATAGCCTTGGCTGGTGCGGCCTGCGAACCGAAGGGTCGCTGGTTCGATTCCCAGTCCGGGCACTCGCCTGGGTTGTGAGCCAGGTCCCCAGTAGGGGGCGCGTGAGAGGCCGCCACACACTGACGCTCCTCTCCCTCGCTTCCTCCCTCCCTAAAAATAAATGAAAACTTTAAAAGCCTTCCTTATTTAAAAATAAATTGGCCTTTCATGAGAAGAATGGAATAAAGGCCCCGCGACGGCGGCGCGGCCCAGACACGCGGGGGCGGACCAGCCCGGCCGGGCGGACCGCGCGCCGGGCCCTCACCTCGCTGCCTGGGCGTCCACTCCTCGTCCGAGTCGTCGCTGGCCGCCCCCCGGGCCGCGGCGGCCCGCCCGCGGTGGCGCATGAAGGCCGGCCGCGGGGCCCTGAGACCTGCGGAGAAAGCGGCCGTCGTCCCGAGGGCGGAGGGCGGAGGGCGGAGGGCGGAGGGCGGAGGGCCGCGGCCGCGCGCGCCCCGCCGGGACTACCTAGGCCGAGCAGCGCTTCGTAGTTGCTCTTCACGTTGCGGTACCGGCTCTTCTCCCAGGCGCCCATCGCCGCCCAGTCTTCCCGGGAGAAGTAGACGGAGATGTCCTTGAAAGCATCCTCGGCCTGCGGGGGCGGCAGACGGCGTGGGCCTGCGGCGGCCGCCCTCCGCCGGGGGGCGCCCGCCTTCTCGTCCGGCCGCCGCCGCCCCGCTCACCTGCGGCCTCCGCCGGGTCCGCCCCGCGTCGCCCTGGGGGCGCTCCTGCGTCTCGCGGCCGCGGTTCATCGCGTCCCGGCCCCGAGGCCCGGGAGCCTGTGGAAGGAGAAGGCGCTGAGAGGGCCGCGCGCCTTCCTCCCCGTCGGCGCGGCGCCCGGAGAGGGGACGCGAGGACCCGGCGGGACGAGGGGAGTCGGTGGGCCGCGGAGACCCGCCCTTCCCTCCGCGGCCGCCTCAGGAGGAGCGCGGCCGGGCCTGGGGCGGCGGCGGCGGCAGGGAAGGCGCCTCTGTCGGGGAAGGGGCGCGGACAGAGGCGCGGTCTCCGGGAGACGGCGTCCGTCAGGCGCCGGGGCGCCGGGGCCCCCAGGACAAGACCCGGGCCTTTCCGGCCGAGGGCACGCACATGCTGGGGGTGGGGGGCTACCGGACCTCCGAGGCTGAGGAGATCGGGGTCGCTCGCTGAGGGCTTTCCCGACCTTGCGTCCCCGGATGACGGCTTTCGGGGTCTCTGAGTTTGGGGAGATTCGGTCTTTCCGGGCGAGCTGCAGGCAGGGTGCCCGGGGCTGAGGGGAGCGGGGGCTTTCGGGCTGTTTGGGGGTCTAAGCGTCGGGGGATTTAGCGTTTGTCCGGGCGAGGAGATTTGGGGTCCTCCGGGTTAGTGGACGTGGGGCCCCTCCAGCCTCTCAGGATGAGGGCACCTAGACTCTCTTAGGCTGGACCTGAAGGTCGTGGGCTAAGGGTTCCACAGGGCCAGGCCCCCCGTTTTCCTGTCAGCCTCCCGGGTCCCCTGCCACGCTGCCCACCCTGGCCTCTGTCCCCCAGCTTCTGTCTTCTGCCCTCAGGAGGTGTGTGACGCGCAGAGGGCGAGGTTCCAGCCAATATAGCTGCTTCGATGCCCGCGGCCAATCAGCACTGAGATCGCAGGGTCTGCTCGCCAATTGGTCGGGAGAGTTGAAAGGGAGGGACAGGGGGTGGAGTCTGTCTGTCAGTTTCGGGTTCCCAGGCCCTCTCCACCCCGCGGGGATTGGCTGCTTCGGTTCCAGCGAGTGCCTGTCACGCAGCTTGCTGCGAGGACTGTGGCTAGGTGGTTCAGGTTTTTGTGGCTTGTTTGGCAGCTGTTGGTGCAGGACCCGCCCCTCAGGTGCCGGGAACCCCGAACCGGGGCGGTCTTCTGGGTGGATGTGGTCCTCCTGCCTCCTGACAAAGTGTCTTTGTTCCACCAGACTGTGGTCTGGATCCCCAACTTTTTTCTAGGCCCATCTGGCCCTCCCTTATCCAACCCACTTTCAACAAGAGCTTCATAACCAGTGAGGATGCGGTCAAGACTGCATTGCATTCCGGGGAAACTTAAGTCAGTAAATGGTGACCACAAAATTCATAGACACAAAATAAGTTCCAGAGGGTTCAAAGATTAAACACATGGAGTAATAAGTATACTAGAAAAGCCACGGGGAGAAGTGGTGGTATGAGTAATAGGTTTGTTGAAGTAGCTTTAGCGGGTGTACAAAGGCTTCAGAAATAAGATAAGATACAAGCAAACAGAAATGAAAACAAACACCCTGAGAAAACCTACAACTGTTTTGCACAAATATAAGGCACCTAATCTGAGGACAGGGGTCCAGGGTCAGTGTAGCTGCCACTGGCTTTCAAGAGATAAAATGGGAAGAGGGTTTCTGGCCCTTACCTCATTTTGAGCACCGAAAGATAACTTCATTTCCATGGGTTGGAAATAAGCCAACTAACTGTAATTATTACTGTGAAATTGCATAAAGGGGAGCCTCACTAAAGTGGAGTTGATGGGTGAGGGGGGGAGCTCTCATGTAGCACCACCCCCGGTCAGTCACAGGCCCCAACAGGAAGATGTACAGGTGCTTCCCAGCAGAAACCGACTTCCCGGGCAACTCAGCTAGAGTTGGAAGTCAACCCGCAGAAGTTCCTTACATTCGAAGACCACTGTGCACTCAGAAAGACACCAGCCTTCCTCATCTCAAAATCTTTCATGGAATCATAACTTCTGCAGAAATCTGCATATGCCTGTTTTGTCGGTTCAGCCACAGCAAAGTTATAGAGAGATGTATCCCCCATTGTATAGAGATATACAATGATGGCTCCAGCAATATGAAATTGCAGATGCTTGGCCCGAAGGCCACACATCTGGAGTTTAATCAAAGTTCTGAAACACATGGTAGTTACATTCTCCTGAATACCAACGTCCTTCCTGGGAGAGAAAGGGACCCCAACTTCTTGATGCTAATTTATTGAAGTTGGCTAGTTGGCTCCTGATAAAGAATTTGGACTTTATATTATCAATAGAACACACAAGAAATATGTGCAATGACCTGCCCACAATAATTAGTAAATGTTTATTAAGTGATGAAATTCACTGTCATGAACATAAAGGGTGGAAAAATGTAGGTTTACAGTTGTGAGTATTCAAAGCAGAGTTTATTCTTGCATTATTTATTAGTCATTGCACAATTTCCAATACAAACCTACTGCTGCCCCACCCTGTATGTGGTTCCGTGTAGAATAAGGTGAGTAGCAGTTATGAACCATGTTTTATACTTCATATATTTCTACAAATTAGATTTGCTAAATCTATGAGTCAAATTGATTCTGTCTTCTTTTTTAAATGAGAATAAGACTTACTCAGCCCTAGAGAGGGCAGTAACTGTGGGGATCAGAACCAGAGCCATGCCTGTGTGTGAGTGCCCAGGCTTTTTATTGGGGCCAGAGGGTGGGAGCAGACTCTTCTGTTACAGTGTTGCTATAGGCTACAGGGCTATGATGGCTGGTCGCTGTTATTTTCTCCCTGCAGGTGCACTCTGGTCTTGATTTTTTTCTCCTTTAATCCCTGCAAATAAACTCAATGAAAGATAGTTGTTTATCTTGTGTTTCTTAGAGGTCTTATGCTTGTTGCCAACTTCTGGGTTTCCCCTCCTCCTCCCTTCCCTGGCCACCTGTGGTATCTCAGAACTGCAAAAGTATCAAAGGAAGGTGATTTAAGCTGTATGTTCTCTGGTCAGGAAGGAGAGGTAGGAACCATTTGCTCTCGAGTGTCCTTGGTTATGGGAGATAAGATCTTGCAGTTTACATAGGAGTAGGTTGTAAGTTGCTCAAACTGCCTGGCCTTGTTTAATTTTCCTGACTCAGTTTCCCCATTCCACCTGGCCCCAGGCTTCTCACCACCCTGTCACCCTACTAACAGTATAGATTGCCTGTGTTCTCCCACCACCAATGCTTGATGTTATCTTTTTATTGTTTTTTTTCCAAAGGCAAGGAAAAGTCTTCTCATGTTGATGTGGATGTCTTTCATTATTAGGTTGAGCATCATTTCTGTCTAAATGGCCATTTGGTTATGTCTTTACAAACAATTCATGTCATTTGCCCACATTTCCTTTCTTTTTTGCTTTGTATCATTTACCTTCTTTTCCTCCAGACAGAAGTTGTACCTTTCCAGTTGGGTCAAGTCTTTTCTTACAGCCTGAGTTTCATGTCCCATGTGCAGCTTCCCCTGCACTTTCTGCACCGTCATCTGTTCCGGCTCATGAGGAACTCTTAGGGTTATCGACCTGGTGTCCTACCAGCTGTCCAGCCTTTCAGGCAGAGCTTGTCCCCTCGCTAACTCATGGTCCTGTGGACCAGGGAGCTGCTGGGTGCCCAGCCCCAGCCTCAAGCTCTTTTCCAGCCCTGCGGTCACCTGGAGGACTGTGGTCCGGATGGCATACTGGGTGCCGTGTAGGTCCCACGGGGTCCTCAGGAGGGTGTTGTCCAGGGTGAAGAAGCCGTTGCCCGTATGCCACACTTGGGTGCAGACAGCAGTGTTCTTCAGCTCCGGCTGATTGACATCTGTACTTGAAGCCGTCTTGCCCCACGTATGTGAATATTTAGAGCTGGAACTGGGTAATGCTGGAGAATGCACATTGTGTGATGAGCAGTTCTTGGTTTGCTCACTGGCCGCTATTGTTACTGTTGAAACATGAGGTGCCCTCCAAGGTGAGGGCTGTACGAATGGATTGGGGTTACTACTTCTGACACTTTTGGTTTGGTTTTGTCGTGCCGGGGGAATCTGAAAGGTCCACTCCTATCCCAATTTTACTTCCATCTGCTCCATCAGAAATGTGACTTGCGGTGGCTGGACTGCCGGCAGGCTCTGCCTGCAGGAGGCAGTGTGGGGCCCTCATGGATTTGGAACCCCATCGCCCAGCACAGGTCATCGTCCCGAGTGACCTAAACACAGAGATATGCCCACCTTCCCCGGGAACACAGGACATCTCCCACTGCCCCGCAGAGATCTGAAAAGCCACTGCAGTGCAAGAGAGCTGACCACACTTGCACTCATGCGCAAGTGCCCAGAGAAGGCGTCTATCACGTACCACGGAACCAGGCAAGGTGGCTGCTCGCAAAGGAAATGAAAATCTCCACAAAGGAAACTTTTTAAAAAGTACTTTTATTAGCTATGTTATTATAGTTTTCCCAATTTATTCCCCTTTATCCCCCCTCCACCCTGTACCCCCAACTGTCCAGCATTCCCCCACCTTAGTTCATGTCCATGGGTGGTACATGTAAGTTCTTTGAGTTCTCTGTTTCCTATACCAGTTTTTATCTCCCTGTCTATTTTATGTCTACCAATTATGCTTCTTCTTCCTTGTACTTTCCCCCCTGTTAGAATGGAAGGGCAGATAAAGTGCTTCCCAGATAAGGTCTCCCCCACCTTATCCTCCCTCCCCCACCACTGAAATCCCTCCATGTAATGTCCATTTCTCTGATTCTGTTCCTGTTCTAGTTTTTTTGCTTAGCTTTTGGTTTTGTTGTTTTTCTTCTCTTTTCAGTTCATTTGTTGATAGTTGTGAGTTTGTTGTCATTTTACTGTTCATATTTTTGATCTTCTTTTTCTTAGGTAAGTCCCTTTAACATTTCATATAATAATGGCTTGGTGACGATGAACTCCTTTAACTTGACCTTATCTGGGAAGCATTTTATCTGCCCTTCCATTCTAAATGATAGCATTGCTGGGTAGAGTCATCTTGGATGGAGGTCCTTATCTTTCATGGCTTCAAATACTTCTTTCCAGCTCCTTCTTGCTTGCAAGGTTCCTTTTGAGAAATCATCTGATAGTCTAATGGGAACTCCTTTGTAGGTAATTCTCTCCTTTCTTCTTGCTCCTTTTAGGATTCTCTCTTTATCTTTAATATTGGGTAACTTAATGATGATGTTCCTCGGTGTATTCCTGGGTCCAACTTCTTTGGGACTCTCTGGGCTTCCTGGACTTCCTGGAAGTCCATTTCCTTTACCAGATTGGGGAGGTTTCCCTTCATTATTTCTTCAAATAAGTCTTCCATTTCTTGCTTTTCCTCTTCTCCTTCTGGCACCCCTATAATTTGGAAGTTGGAACGTTTCAGGTTGTCCCAGAGGTTCCTAAGCTTCTCTTCATTTTTTTGAATTCTTGTTTCTTCATTCTGTTCCGGTTGGATGTTTATTTCTTCCTTTTGTTCCAAATAGTTGATTTGAGTCCTGGTTTCTTTCTTGTAACTGTTGGTTCCCTGGATATTTTGCTTTATTTCATTTTGGGTAGCTTTCATCTGTTTGTTTTTTTTTTTTCATTTTTTTACCAAGGTCAATCAATTCTGTGAACATTTTGGTTACCAGCGCTTTGAGTTCTCCATCAGATAGGTTGGCTATCTCCTCATCGTTTAGCTCTCTTCCCGAAGCTTTGCTCTGTTCTTTCCTTTGGGCCTTATTTCTTTGTCTCGCACACCTGATATGTTGTGAGGGTTTGGCGCCTTGGGTATTCATCTGGACAGGGCAACCCTCTTTGTCGCGCTGCATGCTGCCTGTAGGGGAGGTGCCAGAGAAGGAGCCATGCGGCCTGTGTGCTTGCCTCCAGCACACTTTCCAACAAACTCTTGTGTGAGACTGGGAGTTTCTCCACCGCAGCAACCACTGTAGTCCACAGGCAGCTCTGAGTCTCAGTTTGTCCTTCTGCCAGCCTCGCCTGTGCAGTTCGCTGGCTGGCTGCGGGTTTTCTCAGCTTCCCTACCTGCACGTTTTGTCTTTAATTCCTTGGTTGTCAGAGTTCCATGCAGTTTGATTTTCTGGAAGTTCTGGTTGTTTATTGATTTTAGATAGGTTGTTATCTTCCCTTTGGTTGTGTGAGGAAGTGAAGGGGTTCTGCTTACGCCTCTGTCTTGGCTGGAACACCCACAAAGGAAACTTTTAAAGACCTAGAACTCTGTGACTTAACTGGCAGAATTAAACGTGGCAGTTCTGGAGAAAGTCAGTGAGTTACAAGGAAACAGAGATGGGCAGTTCAATGATTGCAGAACGTTAAAGAAATCGATCAGCAAAACACACACTTACTAAAGAGATAGAAACTTGAAATAAAAAGTTGCTTGGTAAGGAGTTATTTATTCCAAATGATTGGTTCCTGTTTACTCAAAGTACAGATGTATGGTTTTCATTTTTGCAGGCAATGCCAGGATAAGAAAACTGTTCATACGTGTGCTTTTATACTGTATACATGCATCACAGTGTTGAAGACTCAGCCATTAGCTGAGAACATGCTGTTCTTGACTTTGTAGGCAAAAGTATTGCTCTTGCAAACTTTTTATGCATCACAACTGTAAAGACTGTTGGCGTGCGTTATAGCATTATAGTGCTGTGTTCTGTGGTTGCACAGGGCGGTCTGATCACACATTTCTAACTGGGTGTGTTGTGGTGGGTAGTCACATCTGGGCATATAACTTCTTTTTTTTAATTTATTGATTTGAGAGAGAGAAGGTGGGGGGCAGAAAGAGAGAGAGAGAGAAACATCGTATGTGCCCTGACCAGGAATTGAACCCACGAGACTTTGGTCCACAGGGTGATGGTCCAAGCAATAGAGCTACAATGGCCAGGTTGTAGATCATTTTGGATCAAACCTCCCAACTACTGTCATCAGTTTTGGCTCAAATAAACTCATACAAATTATCCACAGTCTTGGATATTTCTTACATCAATACCTTGAACCCAATTTGACTGACATTTCAGGGCGGTGACATCATCCATTTATCAAAATGACAGGTGTCTGAACTCTGCAAGCCAGCAGCCCTCTTAGAAATAACTGTTCATGTTTATACATAAGCCATGTTTTTACATGTGTTACATGGGGTCACAACATGGTAACACATACATGGTGAAAATGTTAAATGCACGTGTATTGTGGTGAGGGTCCCGGCAGGGATGAGGTGAGTGGGTAATGGCGAGGAGTAAGGGAGAGGGTTAGTGAGTTAGGAGGCCAGGATCAGGGATCAGGGTCAAGGTTACAGGGTTATGGGGTTAAGGTTAGGAATGGTGTTTGGGTTGGGGTTGGGGTTTAGGGGTCAGGGTGAGGGCCAGAGTCAGGGCTTAGGGGATCAGGATTAGGATGGTTAAAGTTTAGGGTTTTTGATGAAAAGGTCAGAGCTCAGGGTTAGAGGTTAAGGTGTTAGGCTTAGGGTTATGTTTTAGATTAAGGTCAGGTTCAGGGTTCAGTTTGAGCATAACTGGCCTCTCCCCCTCCTCCCTTGCCATGTCTCCAAAGCTTTCAGGACACGGGACACAACCCACATCACACGGAAGTCTGGGTTTGAATTTGAGTACGGGTTCTCTGTTCCTCACCCTACTCTTTGACAGGAGAAGAACATTGTTCTGGTTACTGACTGTTTCAGGTCCCCCTCAGCCCCCCGCTAGGGTTGTGGAGGGTCTCTGAGGTCAACAGGGCTCCCCCCAGCCTCCCTTTGGGAAGGGGTGCTGGCCGCTCTGAGCTTGGCAGCCGGAGGTGCCTGCTCAGCCTTGGCCATGAGGTACTCAGCAGGCAGGTATGGATTTATACAGGACTGACTGCAATGACCGGCCAGGCCCCAGGGGCAGCCGTCCTTAGTCCAACCTGAGTGGGCTGCAGTAGACGGGCAGGTCTCAGACAGGACACCCCTTGGCCTCTGACCACCTAGGCAGGCATCTGTGGTCCTCCAGCTCAGGCCAGTCCAGCTGGGCCTGTCCAGCTCCCAAGGCCAATTACTGAGTGAACCATGCCTCTCGGCACCTGTGCAGCTACTGGGCAGTGCAGACAGCACTTTGGGATTATTTGGTTCCCGACACCGTGTGGCTGAGACAAGCACCTCCCCCCTCACAGCCTCAGCCTGGTAGTAATTCTCCAGGTGGTGGGCGTGGCCTCCGGCTGTAACAAAGCTCTGCCATCCACGCCCGGCGAGAACCACGAGTGTTGGAGTGACTGCCTCGCAGTGCGCAGTTTTGCGCTGAGACCGCGTGGATTTGGAGAGCCACGTGCGTCCACAGTCCAGCCCCTGTGGCCTCTGGAAAGCTGACCGAGCGTGAATTTTGTGATCTGGAATCACCCCTGAGCCTCCCACTGGTTCCCTTCCCAGCCTTGCTCTTTGTAAAGGGAGGAGAGACTGGAATCGCCCACTTTGTCCTTTTGGGACGACGGATTGATGTGGCCTGGACGGGCGGCACTCTCGGGCTCCCACCGCTGAGGACCTGAGTGAGGCCCGTGTG